ATATAAGACCAGACCATATACCCCCCCTCTCACTCTTACCTATGAAAGAGAGAAATGTGTGCTGAGGTATACAGACTGACAAAATACTAATAATCAGAATGGCATATTCAATTTGGTACACATAACAGTTTCTGCCATATTTAGATGCATCTGATCACAGGAATGTTCTTAATGGTTTATCAATCACTTATCAGTATCATATCATATATGCAGTATAAATAGAAACTCTACTTCAAAAAGTATATTTATGTATTATTAACTATTTGTCAACTTCAACAGATTTATAAAAAATATATGTCACATACCTACTAGTCCTTCTGGCTTCATGAAATACTAATACAATACTGATTACCCTGTAACCCTGAGGGTAGTAAAAATTATGACACTCTGACTAGGATAGAGAGTAATACAGTTACATAAGGAAGCATATGATTATGCAACTACCCTTTGGAGCAATTTTGATTAATATATCTGATTGAGTAAGGCTAAATCAAATGCTTGTCTATTATCTGGAGAGTGTGGACTGTAAAGCTCTTTTTAAGAAGTAAAATTAAAGGGTAAATATTGAGTGCCCAGACACAAAAAGCAGTAATTTGATTATAACAAGCCAAGTATTGCTGTTTAATTGAATTTGCAACAGCAAAATTGGAACATACTGAAATAAAAGAACCATCTAGCTCATAAAACCTTGTGATGGTGATGCTATATTCCTCAATTACAAAATCAAGAATTCTCTTTAGACTTCATACATGTTCATTGTCTCTCTGAGTCATCGCCACTGAGTTTTTGAATATTCAGTATAGAAATATGTAAGCACAATCGGCAAAGGGAGCTAAAGGGGAAAATACCAAAAACTAAAGGCCTCAGTTAAAAACACAGCCCAAAACATCTCAAAAGGAGGAGAGAGTCTTGATAATGGTTGAAAAGAAATGGATGAAAAGGATAAAAAGTTAGACTAAGCAAAAATAATTCTAATTTGTATGGATGTCCTGGTTTAGAAGGTTTATGCCAAGGGAATATTAAATGCAGAGTATAAAGACAGATTTCATGTTGTTTTGCATCTTGCATCTTCCTCCCTCTCGCCCATCAACTATGAAGAAAATGTCTACCTACATATGGATGGGGGGAGGGGGGTGCAAAAGGACCTGTACATTTCATTAGAACGTAAGTTATCCTGGCCTGAAACCCAAAGTCAATTTCTAGGTATGTTGAAGATCGTATTTAGTTCACAGATATCATTTGAAATTAAATCCCAATTGTTGTAGGCAAATAAGGTCAATGATAACAAAATTATTAATATATACCAACAATCATAAAATCTGATATGCCCAAAATAATTTCTGGATTAATGTTGAGAATCTTACATAGAACAAACAAGGCATTAACATTACATAACTTCACCATCTTTACTTGTCACAATTACAAATTAAAATTACAAAGTGTAACAATCGTTACAGATGTTCAAAATGGTAAAAACAGCTATAACAATACGGCACAATTTCTTGCCTTTTTCGTGATGAACAAATGAAATTGAAACAAAAATTACTGAATATTTGACTACAGTATCTAAAATGGTAACCAGATTTGACACAAGACCAGGAAATCATAAATGGAAATATGTAACATAAACATAACTCACCAAACATTCCACACCATTCTCTTGGCATACTATTCCCAATAAATTATTCAATGTAGCACTTAGAAATCAAGCATCTAAATTCTTAAACCATGTAATTGTTCATAACTAACATAGGTCTAATTACATGCTCCCACAGGCAAGAATGAATCGTGCTAAAATTAGAGCACAATATTATATGTAGCATGTGAATATCATGAAATAAAAGTGAAACCATTAATTAAAGATAATTGCATTACGTTAAAAAGGGTGAAAGCACATGGGAAATGATTTCACAAGATTAAAATATTATGGAAGTTTACAATGAGGATTTAAGGATATAATGGAATACATTTGTTTAGTTCTAGGAATACAATTGTAGAACTGTACACAATGTATATAATTATACAAAAGAATATATGTAAACCACAGTTGTGTAATAAGACTACCTTACCCACTCTCATTTGAAGGTGTCCCAATGGGAAAGTTACCCTTTTCGATAGTTTGATTTACCTTCTTAAAAGAGAGCTTCACCTGTAGTAATTAATATGAGCATCTGAGCTTTAATTAAAACATAAATAAAATTTTACTGCAATGTTCAAAATGGACAATGACTAATTTATGAACCAGCCCATGCTAAAAATGTTTCAATAGACTGATCTTAAAAAGCAAGTACCCCCCCCCCTCTTGCAAACAAACATATCATGTTTATGTGTTATACATGTGACAAACTACTTTACAAGTACCATTGTTGCATCTTTAAAATAAAGCTTTGTCTAATTACTACTAACCCTCTGGGGTGGTACCTTAACAGTATCAATACCTCTACATTAGTTTGGTATGTAACATCAAATACCTGCTCAGCTAATGCATGCATATGTTTAATAATGAACTTAGTACAACTGTACATGTAGTTAAATAGCTACTGGTTGAAGGTCAACCCCCTTCTGTTAATCATACACATCAGCTTGACAGTTAAAGTCAAACACACCCTACCTGATAACACATCAATGACAATCTATAAGACAAAATACTCAAAAATCCTGGTTCAACTATTGAACTGAAAAGTTTTTAAACTTACTTTGAGCTTTCCTATGTTGAGTGTCCATGTCACACATGTTATATATATATAGGAGTGAATCATCATTGATTTGATAGAGAAGGCAAATATGGAAATCAACTTATCAAAACATTTGCTTGATGAGACATCTATATATAACTTGAGTAGATAAATCTATCAAACTGACCATTATATTATAACTTGAATTGCTTGAAACTTACCATTTTTAATCTGCATTTTCCCGTATCAAATATTTCCAATGTTCCTCATTCAAAAATATAATCAACTGTTGAAGAGATGTACTTATAAAATATCCCTATTCTCCCACTTAAAACCTTACATTTATTATTGACAAAGCAAACATAGACAGTTTTTTTAACTGCCAAACTGAATACATTAGTACAAAAGGAAATATTCAAACTTTGAGGGCGGATCAGTTTATGTCAACATGACAGTTAAGATTTATTCAACACTTCCTAGCTAAACGACAAAATATTGATGATGTCATTGGAAAACAACAAAGTAAAATCACACTTTTATTTCACAATTGCTGATGACATTGAAATTCGAAAGATGGTACATGTTTCCCATATCTGGAACTGAAAGTTATTCTAATGTATATACATAAAAAAAATGAGAACTATGGTAAATATATTTTTCCACCAAAAATTTCAAAAGCTGATAAACAGCGCTAAACAGCTTACAGTACATGTAATAATAATTATATTACATATAAAGGTTCTTATATGAGTACCTGTGCTAGATCATCCATTCTTGATGAACTTTATCGAGTCGCAGAAGAGATAAAGAAACATTATCAAAGCGAGTCAAGAATTGAGGATTTTGCACAGGTACAAGTACAAGAAAGCTTTTCTCATATGACTCTGTATGATGTATTTTGGCTAGTCATATGAGAAAATCAAATATGGGTGTGTGTGCGCAGCCTATCCACTGAACGAAATGCGACCACCCCGTCAATTTGACTTTTCCCTTAGATATGTCAGTAAATACAACTGACTTTACTCGTTGGTAAATTTACTATTCAGTAAATATTATTGACTTTGAATACAATGACCCAATCAGGTTTTTGATGTAAATCTGCTTTCCAGTAATTACTAAACTTCCATATATAGTGAGTATGATTCATGAAAATTGATTTCCTGCCCCAGTTATCATTATCCACTGTTACAGTATTATAGTGTAATTATGAACAGATTTTGTATCAATGATAGATTCTGTCATCCATTACAAAGCCCTGAATAGCATGGATATGTACAGATTCTTTATTAGCCAACTAATCAAAATACCAAGGCAACAAAATAAAATTCCATACATTTATGAACTCTGAATTTCAGCAGGCAGAACATCACATTGAAAGATCCTTCAAATTGGCATTAAGTCAATTTGATGTTCTGACTTTTGAAATCCAAATGTTGCCGAATGTTACTCACTTCGAGAGCCATGTTAGATTTTGAAACTATGGCTCTCAAACGGAGAAGTGAACAGCTGATCAATAGTGACCTTTGAAATCGAATTAAGTCGATCCACGGCTTACTTTTGGTCTCTAACTGTGTCTTACATCAGTATCATCAATCCGTGTAAGCATTGGAGCGCTGGAGTACTTCTTTTTCGATCAAGACTTGTAAATTGTTCATCGAGTGAAAGTTTTTTAGACCTATTTCCAATATGGCAGTTTGCTAGGTGCGAGATACGCAACGAACGAAATGAATTTTGAGAATTAGTTAGGTTCGGACAACCTCCGGAGATTTACGAAAATGTCCGAGCAGAAACCGCCATATTGGAATTTGGCAGTAAAACGATTCACTCGACTAACAATTAGAAGTCTTGATCGGAAAAGAAGTACTCCAGCGCTCCAATACTTACACGGATTGATGATACTGATGTAAGACACAGTTAGAGACCAAAAGTAAGCCGCGGATCAACTTAATTCGATTTCAAAGGTCACGATCATTAAGCTGTCCAAATGCTCCATGGGAAAGCTATTATATCAAAATCCAAATAGCTTTCGCAGGAAGTAAGCCGAATGCTGTTACAAATTCCGAACATTAACTGCCAAATACCATCCACAAAAAAGTTGAAAACCATTAACAATTACAATATGTCACCACTTCTGGCGGTGACATAATAATACCTGTTTTGGTAAGAATATGAGATGTTTATATTTTCAAAAGGGTGTAACTTTTACACTGTAACACTTGAACAGGGCCCAGCACCCATTCAATCAAATTCTGGAGAGATATCTCTTATGAAATCTGTACAGAACATCCTTGACAACTATGAAGTGAATTAATATAGAACACTCACCTGGAGATTTAACATCTAAAGAGCATTCTCCTATAGATTCAGGCGTCCTCATAATTACTGTTGGGTCACTCACATCGAGACTTCCTGGCTTTGTGTTAGCAGCCACATCTTGTAGATCATCTCTAGAGCCAGCAGGTTGTGTTAGAGATGTTGCCTTTAGTGCAGCTTTAAAACTGTTGGGGACATCAACATTATGTTTTGGGGAGCTCTGTTTACTTTTGAATGCATGATACACTGACTTGTTATTTGTATTCTGTTCTAGGGATTTCATCATAAGATTGGCAGATGGAGAAAAACTGGATGAAGATTTCGGGGATTCAGCCGTGCTAATGTGCGAGAGTTGAGAAGGTGAGATGGCCTTTCCACTCGCATCTGAATATGGATCAGAATCAGTAGTCGATGCGTGAGACATAGCATCAGAGTCTCTCGATCGTGATCGACTGAAAAATCGTCTAATAGGGGACTGCCTTGTTTTTGGACTTTTAGCACGAGATGTCCGTGTTCCTGTAGGAGTAGGAACACTTTCAACAGATGCACTTTCATCACTGTCCAAACTATGACCTCTCTTCTGGTTATTTTTATCTGCTTTACGAGGCATATTGGGAGACATTTTACGTATAAAACTACTTATACCGGAACTAATTTTTCTCAATGAAGACTCCGAGCCTGATGGACTTGAACCTTTTTTGGATTTCCCTCCATTGGGGGAGGGTGGCGGTCGCCCTCCTTGGGTGCGTTTCCTCTCTACCATCTCCTTCACAAGAGCTTCAGTGACTGGACTCTTAGGGGATTTCAAACCATCCACATTCTCATAGTGAAGGTTCACATCGTGGACATATACTCTGTTAATCACTGATTTCACTTCCTTTTCCTTCGGTAGAATTTCAGATTCTACAAAATATGGTTCACATGTTTCAGAAGAATTTGCTTTATTTGAAAATTGGACATGTGTTTTTTCATGGATTCCATTTTGATTTCTGGGACTGGAGTTTTCCATGGATGTTAATGGGCTCCTCATATTTGCCCCTTGGGATTTCACTGAATTTACATTAATGGATGCAATCCTGGAGTTTCTTTCAGGTCCTACTGACCTTGATCTATCTGAAGCCCTACACCGCTGGGCATTCACTATATTTGTGATGTACTCATGGCTGTTGGTGTAATCCCTATCAATACGATTTCTCCTGTCTGGGCTTACACTCCGAGTTCGTGAGTTAACTGGAATTCGGCCATACCCTGGGGATTTCTTTTTTTGAGGGGATGTAACAGCTGAAAAGCTAGTCCTGTACATTTGAGACACCCTAGGGGTGACCTGTTCAGGGCTCTGTGTTTGTCTACATGGACTAGGGCTAGCATATCTAGTGATCCGATCCTGGAGGAGATGAGGTGATTTCCCACGATTCCTCGATCGCTCTCTTGAGCTCCCACAGTTGATATAGTTAGGCATTGTGGGTGAAGTGAATCTCCTGTCTAACTGCTCTGATGTCATTTGACTCATATTCAAGCTGATGTTACATCACTGTAAACCCTGGAAAACAAAAAATTGATTTTACTTTCTTTTAATGTTATCTATCGATTAATTTAACCTATTTCAAATAACACATATTCTGATATATGTTTATGTTCTGCCTGAATTTTCTCCTGTTTTCTCTAGAATACGCCACATCACAACAGCTGGTAAATTTCTTATACAGTACCAATAAGTGTAAAACTGAACTAAGGTACATGTGAAAATACCAAATAATTTCATCTTGATCAGATCTAACTCGATATACCCTCCACGTAATGATATAGTATAGAGAGGTTAAAAAAACACACCCAAGCTAAAGCTTACCAATTTTGAGATGTTTCAATGCAAAAATGTAATATGTATTTGACTCAAACGAAAACATTCATTTCCTATTCAGACTGAACTGCCGTATGTTAGATGCTGACATTCAACGTATCAAGTACACTTCCTCTTGAATACACCCTTTAACCCAGATGTTAGCAGTAAAATACTATCCTCTGAGGAAAATGAATAAATAAAAATAAATATACTATTTTGATACCAATAAGATAGTGATCTTCATGACTAAAATAGGAGTTCAGATAAGAACGAAATGCCAGACACTAATGAGGACAGAAAATGTGATGGCTCCAATTCTGACTGATGAGCTATATTTTTAAGAGGCTAGGTCAAACTATTTGCAAAGGGTATCTTCTTTACAGCTAAGTGAAATCATATATGGGAAACAGGATGAGAGGAATGAACATGCTGCCTAACAGAAAAAAAAAGTTTATTACACGCCTAATATTGTAACTCATATCCTTGAGGTACACCAATGTATATGAGCTCCTTATTTCAAAATACACTTTATGACATCCTGTTAAATAAATAATAGATTTTCACCTAAAATTCTTTTATGTCCTTCATTAAAAATCTCCATCTTCTATATTTTCATATTATTTTTGACAGGAGAGTCAAAATATGTCAGCGATTTTGAAAAAATAATTCAACCTACTACATGTCCGTCTTCACATAATCCACCTAATCAGGTCATAGTCCAAACTGTCCTTGAGGTTCCAAGTACTGTAAAATGGTACTGATGCAGGAAATACTTCACTTTAATGTTAAACAAATACATCTGTTTGAAAGTGCCTCTCTAGACTGTCACACCTAAACTAATCTAAACAGGCATTTTAGAACCTTGATAACCATACTGACCTTATATAGCACTTTAACTATACATGTTCAATTTGTAGTGAAGTGGATAGAGATAGGTATATCACTTTCTATGTATTAAATAAATATGACACATCAATATCAAAATGGCAATAAAAAACTTCAGTTGCTTCAATAAAGAACATGTATGAAGTCTGTTTCCCACGCATTCTAAATAAATCAATGCATAAAGGCCATGTTGAACTGAATGCTAATTCACCTATCTTTATCAAATATTTTATCCTAAATTAAACTTTTAGTTTACCCATGTTGAAAGAAGCTGATTTTACAATGTGATTTAAGAGTATTTAAAGAGGCCATGCTGACATACTGAGCAAAGATGTATACATATAGAGCCTTTTTATACTGAGCACCTTTGTGTAAGTAGGGGTTAAAATGAAAAATGTTTTGACTTATTCTTTAATTTTTTATACATATGTATGTATATGAATTGAGGGTTTAAAAAAGAATATCTGACACTCCCATTTACAAGCAGGCAGCAAATCAATTGCTAAATATATCAATGAGAGGGTGAAAACATCTGTTTTCTCTTTTAGACATTTCTCGCCTAAAACTAAATCAATTATATGACTAAATATATGCCCTAGTGCAAAGTTTTATCAATAATTAAATCAGAGTTGAACATACAAATGACTCAACGTAGATTGAAATTGTTTTGTGAAAATCCGAACTCTTTAGAACATTATTAAATGCCTCGAGTATATTACATATTATGGCACATATAAATGAAAAAATATGATTAAACTCTGTATGAACAAAAGAATCCAAGAATGGCCCAAAATGGTACTAAGTCAACAATACCAAACCTACCTCAGAGAACAAAAGGCAATTAAATTGTATCATATATTGTATCATGCAAGAACTTCGAATTTGAATACTTTCAATAGTTTTTTTGAAATCACTCAGAGAAGGGAAATTAACAAATCATCAATGGATTTTTTACAAAGAACCATCACTACTTAGCTTAAAGCCTTGAAAATCAATTCCTCAAATGATTTGCACGGAAATGTAGTAATTGTAGACATATGAAAGCTACCTGCCACCCACCCGCTTATTCAGCAATCTGAATGATCACAATATAAGTGCAAAAAAGGGCAAAGGATAACATATGAAAATTCTCTAGAGCAAAAAACATATAAACCAAATGTGAAGTGTTTTTTACTTCAACCAAATCTAAAATATGTAACCAATAAAGCATACAAAACTATCCATAATCCATATATATTTCACCCACAAATGTTGTAAAACATTAAAAATCGGCAATTTCTCGAGAACTGAGTGAAATGTCAATGACAGATCAAATAGGCACTACGGATATACATAAAATAAATGTGGATACGTTTTTAATACCGAACAGTTTTAATTTGTGCAGCCAATGTTGAAGGATGGACCAACAGATAGACTGGCGGACAGACGCCTAGTCAATCACATAGAAAAAATAAACCAAAATCTAGAGATCAAAAAACTTGCAAAATATAATCTCAAACTAGATAATGGCAACTCCGCGGAGTAGCAAATCCCAACGAACAAAATATCAATTAGCGAATTCCAATCAATTATACTCATTACTTTGGTTAAAATTTAAAAAATTAGATTTTAGAATTGCGAATTCCTGCAAAGCAGCCATTTTGAATTTTCTGAGATACAAATCTGAAAAATAATACCATAATTGTGATCTATTCCAAAATTCCTGAAATAAATAAATGTTGTGAATATACTACCAAAATTTCAAACAATAATATTAATTACTTTGGTTCAGAATGAAAAATTTATGATTTTTGCGAAAAAGTCCCGTCATTTTTAAAGCGGCAGCCATCTTTTTTTTGCGTAAAACAATTCACCAATATACATCTTTCCACTAAATATGAAGAAAATCCGTCAACTAGTATTTGAGTTATCTTCCGGACAGACGGACAGACTGACTGACGGACTGACGGACTGACGGACTGACGGACGGACAGACAGACGGACGGAGGGCTTCACTATATCCCTACCAAACTTTGTTCGTTGGGATAATTAATACTGGTATAGTTCCATCTCACATCAATGTTCAAAACAAAAGTTAAATCTGTTCTAATAGATCCCCATACATAACATATTCAACAACAATTTCTAAATTGACATTTTTAAGATTCAATGATAAAACATCAATGGTTTTTGATATAGTATCTACTTACCTTTAACGATAATGTACTGTAAACTATAATGATCTCATTCATACAAGCATCATGTCAATACCCGCCTATAATAGTCCTATAGCATAGTATATATGGGTGTGTCAGAGCCTCATTTGTTCAATCATTGTAGGTTATCAACTGAAAACAGATAAAAGTTCCCAAATTAACCAGCCTGTTCTCCAATATATCTCGGCTACCCAGATTGTGAGCATATAAATCATGTTTGAAGTTCACAGTACACCGACAAAATTGGAAGTCCAATCGACTCCATTACTCAACATATTGTACACTGGATGTTTGTAATTGACTTGGCATGGGCTATAACTATAAGATCTTGCATCAATCCTGGAATGTATTATACAGAATTAGATATTATTAGCTTGATTAGCAAACCACATGTTATCCCCATACACCCATCCATTGATGCATGCACAGATAGGAACCATCATTCACAAATGCAAACAAACAAAACATGAAGCGTGTTCTTCACATTAACACTCAATTCTAAACAAAGAGCCCCAGAATGATGACGGCCACGATTGTGAGAAACAAGTAACTGATAGATAAACTGACACTCATAATAAAGTATGTGAGACGGTTTGTGAGCATCATGGTGTGTTGAAGTATAAATAAATCAATCCATTGATTAAATTTAATTCCAAATTCCCACATGTATCAATACAATCAGCATTAGTGTTCCACATTCCACTAAGGATTCCAACACTCTATTCATTTCTACCATTTCTAAGGCCATATTGATTTTCAATAGAACAGATCATGTCAGACTCTGAGATCATTTTTCGGACAAAAATTCATATTTGATTCTAATAAAGTATAGAAGCCAGCCTCCCAGACATCCTTACATCATATTGGTAAATGCTAATAACTTCTGAGACCAGTTACAATAGAAAAAACATAAATTATGTTTATAGACAGATCTTTGGTAGGCAGATATAGCCTGGTGTTTAATTAGACATCCAATTCATGCAGTTTCCAATATTTAGCTAAAATAGCAGCTGTTCAGATATGATAGCGTTAATTTATTCCATGACCTCATTTCCATCTAAAAGTCACTTTACAGAACCCGACGAAATCATAAACATTTTACCAAGTTTATAATTGAACTATATTTTAGATATGAGCTCATATATGGTCATACTTTAAGACTTGTATGCTGGACTACTGAAATCGTTTCTAACAGAAGTATTTCTCCGGGCAATTCACAGCATTATATAAGCCTTTGCATAACATGAATTTCTCCAATATTTTGCTTTCACAGTAAGGATGACACGGAATAATTCTATCGAAGATGAAAAAGTGAAAACTCCAACTGCCAAGTAAAATCTAACCACATCCCAATATTGGAAATTAGTGGGAAATCATCGTTCACTGTTTTACTAACCTTAGAAAAGGCATTTTTACCCTTGAGCATTCATTTGAGAATTGAGATATCATTTTGTTTCAATTTCAATATTATTATCACATCTGCCATTATCTTATTGAGGCCTAAGTCAACATCAATAGACATTAATTATTTTAAAGCCACTCGTTAAATGACATCCGTACCATGTTATGTATTTGCATATATGCAGTTAATGAATCTATAATCTTATTTCCTCAAATGAAACCCTGGAGATATGATTATCCATGTTTCAGTAAAAATAGCCCTCATCAGAATGGCGTTCTTACTCAGCTGTAGAAGGTTGACTTCATACTGGTGTTTTTTCTAGATTGTGTGTAGCTAATTGTGTGTGAAGGAGAATCTGTGCCCTACCCCCAGGGAATTCACTGTATACAAAATTTGGCGGGGGTCCTAGGCTGAACCCTAAGACATCAATATGTTCCCATACCAATCAGTCAAATTTCAATTTGTTACCATACCAACCAAAACAACACCTAAAAGGAGTAAAACCCATACCAAATGTCCAAATATAAGACCAATGCCATACCAAATAATCAAATGTAGGATCAATGCCAAACTAAATGTCCGAACATATGACCATTTCCATACCAAATGTGTAAGTATAGGACCAATGCCATACCAAAGTAGAATATTTCCTGGGTAAAAAGGCCTTGAAGATTTTCTAAAACAATATCAAATTAAATATGTGTAACTTCTAGACTAATGCCATACCATAAGGGTGAGTTAACATATCTATGACCATTCTCATAGTAGAAAGTAGAAAAGTCTGACCACTGACATACCATATTTTAAAAGTCATGATTTGGGGGGGGGGGCATTCTCATACCAAATCATAAATCAAGGTTTATATAAAGTGAACCCCCCTGGCGCTACCCCGAGGTTAGCTTTGAAAGTAAAACAATGCCTTCTTTTAGAAGCAAAGTCTAACAAATGGAAATGGTACTTTGCGCTTACATGGCACTCCTCTAATTTGAGGGTTTGTTAACATTACTGCGATAACCATTTTAAATTCCCTCTAGGTTAAACAATTAGTCTAATAGGTCACTGAAACATAGAAGAAGGAATACAAAATAGTAAAAAGCATACATCATATTTTGCTACATGATATATTATAGAGGTGTTTCAATTCAAATATATGCTAGACTGCGCATATAAAGCAAGCTACAATTTTAATTCACTCTCTAGAATTATAAATGCCTTCCTATGTTCTATCTTTGAATGGAGGGCTGTTTTGCATGTTACATAGACCTGCTGAGATATCCAGGGGCACTATTTAAAATCAAATGTATGGTACAACCACATATTACATATTAGTACCAATGCTGGAATACTGTGTATTTAAAAAAACAAGGAATAAAATCTGTGTTCCTCCCATTCCAAAATTAATACCAGATAAAAGATTTGAAATCTCGAATTGATCAAGTTATAGAGGTTTTATGATGCAATCCTAATAGAATAGAATTGAAATATAAGATGTATAATACAGAATTACAGGTAAGAAAAGATTGTGGATTGAAAATTCCTTTAAACTGAGGTTGACTTGTTATAATCAGTTACTATCAACCTTCTTTTATCTGCTAATTTTAATCGAGACACATAAGAGATTTTTACACCAAAGGAGGAAGTACCTTATCTTGAAAATCTCTGAGAATATACAAAGGGTTCATTTTGGCCATCACTGTCATCAGTGAGTTGAACATGATGGCACAGATCAACCATTATCTAAATCTTAATTTCTGTGTATCAGTCTCTCTTATTGGTAAAATCAGTTTTCATTACTTAAGCATCATCTCAATGTATGGCACCCATCATCTGAATATTGAGGGCATTCATCCAAGTCTCTTATAGACTTCAGCCTAGGCTAACCCGGGAAGCTAACCTGTCATTTCAACTATCAAATTGGATACCTGAAATTGGTCTATTCATAGAGCACTCAAATTGATAATTACAATCTTCAGAAATTTACAGAATTTCTAAATCAGCCTTCCTGAATCAAAATGATGGCTTGAGTTCAATCACAATTTTTGATATGTGTGAAATGCTAATCTAAACAACATGCACCATAGACAACATCTCCATGTTATATAGGGTTATACTCTCAAAGACTGGAAGATGGGGAAAAATCCCAAAATTCCCAAAAGATGAACCTATCTTCATGTTACGATGAAAACCTCCTTTTTATTTGTCTACACCCTACCATGGGCTTTCAACTAGAACTGAAAGCCCATGACCCTACTACAATGTATATCCTCATCGCTGATTGGTCAAATGACATTTATCAATTGGGAGCTCATGGAAACGTGCTAATACCAACGGTCATCTTTGGGAAATCTCCCAACTGAGCTAGGCTAGACCTACAGTATACTCGGAGAAAGTATAAGTTGTCACTCTCGGTAGCAGACCCGTAGCCAGGATTTACCAGGGGGGAGCGGTTTTACCAAGGGGGAGTTTTTGCTAAGTTTTTTCTAAGGGAGGGAGCTTTTTGACAGTTTTGGCAAAAAAAAATCATGCGAAAAGTGCTCAGAATCACAGTCAGAGAGAATGTTCTGGCGAAAGGAGGAGATTGGGATTTCAAGTTAAAGATTATTAATATCATTCCCGTTCGAAGAACATATTAGATGTCCGTGCTCAGAATGGTGAAAAACTGCATGTTTGAAAGAAATTCTTGCCAGGAGGGGAGCGGCCGCTCCCCTCTGGCTATGGGCCTGGGTAGTTTCTGTGACTGAAATTGCCTACAAAATATCCCCGCTCATCACCCTAATTTACTGATTTTGAGAGAATAACGTTTGAGAAAAAATAAAAGGCCAGTGAGGCAAATTAGAAGGTGGTGTCAAATTACTACAGAAGTTGATTTTTAACTGTGAAATGCAGATATGTCTTCCAAATTACTAAAAATTCGAATGACATTCTACATTTCCTACATTGGCTCCAAGGCTAGGTTAGAACTCTCAGACTCAGAGGCTAAAAAAAGAAAAAAAATTCGAAATGTTTATATCAATGGCCCTTACTTGATTTTGAACGTAATGGAATAGCCAAATCCTGTAATAATTGCATTTTACGATGTACAATTCACCGATTGTTGCAATGAAATTAAATATGAGATGAGAAACATTTTCAATACACCATAAAACAGAAAATACATACCTTCAACTTATTTTCTGTCAACCGCCATCATAATTTCGGAAAAACACGGAAATAGCCGAAGCTGAAGTTTCCGGTATAATTTTCGTACAGGTGAGATTGTCGAGTAAACTACTAATTTGGCAGCTTTGGACGCTCATACGATGATTGTATATTAATTGTATATTGAATGGCTATTTTTCGATTGTGAATGTGATATAATTTTGTATAAACCACTTCTGAATCGTGTAGCAAATTGAGGTTCAATACAAAATACACATATTATCGCCCATCCCATAGCAACTAAGGTCAAGATTGCAGTAAAAATCCCATTGAGGACAATAATAACTTTTCATTTCATAATATATTCATGGGCACAGATCTAGCTCAGCGAAAAAGTGCCTAGTGTTCATTGGAGTCTTGTTTAGCTTGCCGTTACCAAAGGAGGCAGGTTAGATCTAGTCTACTGAAAAAATGTTAGAAAGATTCTATAATGAATTAAAATCAACTTGTGGCCGTTACAAGATAATGATACGGTGACCCACGGACCTCTGCCAGAAAAGCTCCTCTGTGTCTAGGCTCAATAAATATACTCAAGGACAAGACACAAGATCTTCGGAAATTAATTTTCCTTGATTTTGGAGTCAGTTTATCAATAAATATCACATGCCATACCTCAAACGATGCGTACTGTTGTTAGCTTCAACTCCAATCACTAAAGCTAAACATCCAAGAAAGCGTCTGTTGATAAAAGCATAAAATAAGCGAGCATATATTTAATGGAGCACTTCGGCTATCTCCGTTGTTCAAATGATTATTCCCGAAGTCAAATGCCTTTTCTGAGAATGTGACGCCACTCCGGATGACGTCACATCAGAGATTACCAAGAAGTCCCATGACCTTTCTTTAAACTCCCGTAGAAACAATAATGACGGTTTATTAGGCTACGCGATTCTTTACTTTCATTGGCTGTTTGTTGCGATGTGACATAATTTGAGAGACGAACAACATCGGACACTGCCGGAAATTACCGAAGTGCTCCATTATCTTTACGCTCTGAAAATTTGAAATAAATGTCCCGGGAAAAGTCGAATTACAGCGTCAATAATGGATATCATGCAACCATTCAGTCTGACAGATGGAAAAAATAAGGTCAGTACGAGGGTCATATTTTTGGGTGGTCATTTTTTTGATGTGCCATTTTTGGCTCGTGTCTCATCTTCCCATTTATCCTTTGAGCCTACTACCAACAGGGGCTGGATCTGGCTCCGGATCTGTGCGGTGACCACACCGTTTTTGAGATAACTGGATCTGGATAGAGCTACCACTGTAAAGCTACCTGTTTCAGAAAATTATTCTGCTCTACATATTCTCAAAAATCACTCCGCCATCTCTAAAAATTATGTTTCTAACCAAACTTGTAAATCTTTCCTGATTGATTAGTACTTACCCTATCGAGAATAAACTTCGATTCATCTATCAAACACTAGATGGCGCTGCGATGGGCCAGAAAAGGAGAAAAGGCTTTTTTTATACAGGGAACCAAATAACCAACGGTAACCGATAGTATCCCTACTCCAAACTATATTCTAAAGTGCTCACCATGATAAATAGATGACACCTGGCTTTTCTATCACCATTTCCAGACCATCGTGATTTGAGACTTCATACTCTACAATAATGTCTAGATACACATCCCTTAAGTTTTATATATTTTACATTTTGTATACTCTCATCCACTGATGTATTGCCTCTTGAAAATTCTCTTATTTCATGGGAAATCCTCACTTCAGCAAATCCAGGTGTCATTTATTTATGGTGAGCACTGTACAACCTGTCTCAGGCCCAGTTATTATTTACCTCTCTGTGTCATAGATCTGGGTCAGACGATGTCTGATCCAGAAATGGATGTATTTACTCTGGCAAGACATCTTGCTTAATCATGGAAACCGTATATGTCACGCATTTTCCTTGAAATATTTCGTACCTACGGTCTCTTGATATCCCTGATCCAAAGCCTACCCCACTCGCAGTACCATACAGTGCGTATAAAAAAAAACACAACAGATTGTTTTCTGGGAAAAGCACAAAACCAGTGATAACAGCATTGATTCCATTCAATGTACCATAAAGCCATGTGTCTCCTCTTTACAATGGAATATCATTTGTTGATGTTGGGTCATGGTTGGGTGAGTAATCATTCCTTTTGCAAAGTGGGCCAAAATTAGCTTGTGACCAATTTATAAACATCGCCAAAGTCAGTGTACGGGACCCAATTCAATATTGGAAGAAAACATCAAACCAATGATGACTGCATCGTTTTCATTCAATGTACCAAAAAGGCCAAATTACTCCTCCTTGCAATGGAATGTCATTCTGACAGAAAGTCATGGCTGGCTGAATAATCATTAATTTCGCGAAGTGGGGCAAAATTCAGCTTGGACCCAAGTTTTAAACATTGCAAAAGACATACATGGGACATAAGGGCTATTGAAAAAAGATGTGACAGGTGTGCCATAGACAGTAAAGTGTTCAGACTCATATTCTTGCACGAATACATCCTATACCCCTCCAAATTACCACCACTACTTAAAGATGCGCTCATCTCTCCACGTCATGCATGGGTCAGCCCGGAGTCATCTGTGGGTTAAAGCGTAGAAAAGCAGCCCATGGGCAATTCTTTCTCGAAGTTTTGCAATATCTGGTGGAGGAATTGTGAGCACAGATGCTCCTGAGATAGCTCCAAAAGAAAAAGTCACAACAATTCAAGTAAGGAGAACTTCCATTGCAATATCTGAAACTTGGTCCAGAGTCGATTTTGACCAACTGTGCAAATGGAAGGATTTCTCCCCCAACCCATGACCACATGTGAATGAATAACATATCATTGCAAAGAGGAGGAACGTGGCTTTATGGTACATTGAATAAAATTGATGTAGTCATCACTAGTTTTGTGATTTTACGAGATAACCACTTGTTGCGTTTTTTTTTTATACACCCTGTGTAATAAAACTAGGACGCCATCTGTATTTCTTGTTAGAATATTACAAGTGTGTTCATAGACTGTACACACAAGTAAAATTAACCTTAGTTTAACATGGTATATTTATGATGTTTGTTCATATATCAGCTCAAATTGTACATTGAAAAAGCAGTTGTTTTTTCAAGAGTAAATATACCCATTTTACATTGGACATCATCTGGCCCAAACTGCTTGGGCATTTCAGATTCAGGGAGTAGATTTTTTTTTTTTTTTTTTATTTTGATATAACTTTATTTCTTTGAAGGTAAAGGTACCCAGAACTAACATAGGTCACACATTCTGAAGCTATTTTAGCTTGTTTAACATGCCAGGCCCATAGCCAGAATTTTCCAATTTTTCAGGGAGTAGATAACTTGTCCAGAAAGGTAAGGCTATCATGGCATGAGCCATTCAATTTCATTCACAGACTGGAGAAGGGAGCTATTTACACTGTTCTATGGTTTTAAGTAGTTTCTTCTCATCAAGAGATTCCACTCAAAGACTCGACAGTTCAATATCCATTCCACACTCAGTCAAAGCATCTAGCAAAATAGCTAACAATTCAGCGTGCAAACCTAGTCCATCTTGTAGGGACTAATCTCTGTGCAAAGTTGAAATTGTTTAGTGGAAAAAGTGTTGGGCATGGGGGTTGCAGGTTTAAGATACCAAATCTATATACTGTAGATTGGGTTAATTTGGCGCTACTTAATTTGGCGATTTTGCCATTTTTGGCATATTGGCGGCTATTTAATTTGGCGGACATGCGAAAAAATTTTAATTAACCTACGCGCTATTAGCGAATTACCATGTAAATGGGCATGTTTGGCTATGTTCATTTTTTCTCTTGAGGACCACTGGCGATATTCACCACGTTTGTACATTTTTGTGAGATCATCCTTTACATTTTGCACCTCGATCGATGCTGCTACTATACCGCGCTTTTCCTTTCTAGTTTTCCCCTTAGTATGAATGAGTGAATGACCAGTTCTGATCCAATTTATGACAGACATTTTTTCATATTTTTGGAAAAAAACTAAACGAAAGTGACCTAAATACACTCGACAAAATACCCTAGATAATTCCCGGGGATTCATTCTAAATTTTGGCGAAGATTTATATTGGCGAATTTTTCAATTTCGCCAAATTATAGCGGGCGCCAAATTAACCCAATCTACAGTAACACAATCTTTTGCAGGAAATGTAAAGCTCTAAAATGCAAGAAAAATAATATATACATCATGAATATACATGCTCATCTGTTGTATTTTCAGTGCTGGTTATTGGCAATGGTGTTTCTAACAGCATGCAGGTTTACACGAAGTAGGGGCCCTGACCCATTCTGGAGGCGGCAAATGTATTTTAGGATGGCATGGGTAAGAAGAACATAATTCATTTGTCAATTAACAGAGTATTATTTTACAGCATCTCTGTGAAGTCTGGATATTTTTACCAGGATTACACTTATCATCTGGATTTCTCAATTTTTTATATACATTTATAGTCTGGCAGGCCATAATGTATTTGTCAATTTATGACTCCGACTACAAACATTATATATTTAGTATCTGGCCAAATGAAATTCATGGAGGGATATAGAGAAGCTGTGTTTATTTATCTATGTATCCCGTTTGTCTATCTTTCCTTTCAAGTGATACAACACCAGAAGTCAGATTTATGTTGGGATACAGCATCTATCAAAATTTGCTGTATATGTCTATTACTGTAATTCGACTTCATTTGGCAGCTGTTTTAATTTGGTGGACCCGCTAAATTGTCAAAGTCCGCCAAATTAATCAGTAATTTTAGTACCATGTACATTAGTACCATTAGTACATTGTAATATTGGAAGTCTGCCAAATTAAGTAGCCTCCAAATGTTAAAAACAGCAAATCCGCCAATTTAAGTAGAAGTGCGAAGTTGTCCATTTAATATCGACCTTTGGACCTCTGAATTTTCAAAATGGCTCAAGCCAACATCAAAATTGTCAAATTTTTACGGGTCAATTAAAGTCATTGAACTAATAATGAAGAAAAAAGAATTGTTTAATTGCAGCGCTATTATGGCAGAAGTAGGAATTGCTGGGTGCTTGCCTTGAGACGTGTACATAAAGCATTGAAGAAAGCAACATTAGCTAGGCAATTAAAGAAAATACAAATGAGAAAGGTGAATAGAACCATTTATAAATCAGTCTATGATCTGACAACATATTTTTTCCTTATGTGTGATCCAGGTTCATCTTTGAACAACAAGGAATTGTGTTCAAATGTCAGCAGTTATCATGGAATAACTAACTTGATTTTGTCAGGGAAGGAAGTATGATATGATTTCTTGGGGGCCCTTTCTTCATTGAAACAATGTTTTACACTTATTTTTCTGAAATGGGTTAGTTCTTGTCACATTGATTTTAGCACTAAGGGGTACAACAGAGGTATTGCGGGAGTCATAGAAAAAGGCCAGTTGAGTACACCCAGTTGTTTCAATGTCTTCCTCAATCATGAAATACAGGATGGGTATACATACACTACAGTGTCTCCCAAAGATTCTGTAATGGTGCAACATTTTGATTTTCGCAATTCTTACTAAAGTTAGTCAAAACATGCCAACTTTCAGTTTTTTTCTAATTTTCAAGTGGATGAAGAATGAATTTAGGGAGCAGCTGCATGTCTATTTTCAAAATGGGTGTACATGTACATGTAGTACCCTTTTGCTATAACGCTTGGGAAGTCACTGTAGAACCCTGACTTTGCTTACATTTTTGTTCCTCCCCTTATTTTCTTTTTACATTTGTTTCAGTTATGGGGTCAGAGGATCAATGCTGGATGCTATGAACATGGCTGTGAGAAAGATATATTTTTAGAAGGCATTGCACAAGTAAGTTGTCAATAGGTGCAATGTACATGAAATTCCCTCAGAGCATTTTCACATGTACATTCTTTTAAACTATACATGTACCTGTTTTGCTAAATCAAAACCTTTTTACGATTTTTACAGAATATACAATTGGTTAACAGAACTTAATTAATTAACAAACAGACAATAATCACAATATTGATGATGTAAAAGTATGATTTTATTGTTTCAGAGTAACATAGGACTAAACAAACAGATGTTGGCCCAGCTTGCCATATATGAGCCAAGAACATTTAAGGTATGATATATACATAAAACATGACGGGCGGGCTCAATGGAATACTATTCTAGTTGATGAGTTAACAATAATAATGAGGTTAGTTAGTTCTGTTTTCAAAAATGTGATATGCGTAAAATCGTGGTCCCCAATGGAAAATTTTCTTTTCACTGGCCTTTGCTTGCCCAATTAATTATAAAGGTACACTCCCCTCCATAAGTTTGGCAACCTTTTTTCCCCATTGAACTACGTGTTAAAGCCTCTTTACGTTTGAATTTTTATTTACTTAACCGGCGATGAAATAACTTATAATATTAATGGAAACGTAACTTGACTTTATTTCCAATACCTCCAAATTTTCTCAATTTTTTTCCTCAATTACAATAGGTCGAAAATCGATGATAAATTTGATGAATTTTTGAAAAACGTCATTCCCATGTAATCCAATGGGAAATGGAGGGTTCGGGGCAAATCAGAAATCAGGATATCTTTTCAGTAAAAGATTCAGCAAAAATATTTTTATATAGAAAATTGAATTGTCTAACTTTTTTTAACACTAAGTGTTTAGTTTATTTGATGAATATTAAAGTTACGGCGCTTCAAAGTCATGTTTGAAAATAATTTTTCGCCCTCCTGTGTTATTTCAATGGGAGAGGTATTTTGAAAAACAATTTTGACTTTAAAGCCCCATAACTTTGTTGAACCTGAAAAAACATATCAATTTTTTGTTAAATAAAGTTAGCAAATTCAATTGCCTGATTAACTCGTATTTTTTGCAAGGACTCGGATGGATGGATATTCTGTCATATGACTTGCGGCAAACCTACCATTTCCCATTGGTTAACATGGGAATGTCGATTTTCAAAAATTCCTCAAATTCCTCGTCAATTTTCGACCTATTGTAATTAAGGAAAAAAATTGAGAAAATTTGGAGTTATTGGAATTAAAGTCAAATTACGTTTCCATCAATAGTATAAGTATTTTCATCGCAGGTTAAGTAAATAAAAATTCAAAGGTAAAGAGGCTTTAACACGTAGTTCAATGGGGGAAAAAAGGTTGCCAAACTTATTGAGGGGAGTGTATAAGGAAATAGTATGCCAGACATGGGCAACAATATTTGAGGGTAATACTGATACTACAGTTTTACACATAAAGTTTTCTCAAATGTGTGGGTCGTTCTCATCTTCAACTATTTTTGTAAAGGAATTCTTCAATTAAATACTTTTGAACAATACGTTATAGTATCACTGGTGATCCACTCGATTACGCTGGAACCGTTTCGGTGACAAAATGTCGGAACGTCGAAGGCACAATTTTTCTTTTTTCCTTATTTCACACATTGTAGGCAGAATTCCCACAACATTTTTATCACAAATGTGTATCAGTATCATATGATTAAGAAAATGTACACATTTGCGAACAAATAGTTTAGAAGACAACGGAATCGTCGATTTAATCCCTCACTTAAATTACCGAAACGGTATAAGTTTGATAATCCTTATTTCGTAAATTAAGTAAAACGTAAATTGAGTTCACTTTTCAGGAGCTGAACCGGGATGGATACACGCTGTTTCATCCCGGTCCAGCTCCTGAAAAGCCCGGTCCTTGGCAGTAGCTCCCAAGATACACTATATATTCCCGCTCGTTATGTACTTGGAACCTCAGGTATAGAATACATATACATTCTTTAGAACAGAGCTAACTAACTAAGGCTATTTGATGAAGTCAATTGACTGCTTTGAAATTTCCTCCTTTGGCTCCCAATGAGCAGGTCTACATTGGGACTCTGGATCCAGATAAGTGCTCATATTTTTATAAACTTTATGTTCCCCATTGAATGAGTTCAGTTTCTCGCAAATGACTTTCCATGGTTGCATACCTAAATGTAATAAACTGTAGCAGTAATCATGGGTGTCTCTCCATTTGAAGTATTCGTTATAGGCTGTGTCATTTGAGTTCAGGTATCGCAAATAATGAGCAAGGTGCTGAGGGGTTTTAAAATCCTCAATGTGGATATATGAATAAGGTGGTGCGATAGATGTGTAAAATTCTTTTGTGGCCCCCATTACAACAGGGAGGACATTGTTATGGTAACCATTTAACCAGAGCTTTTCTGTTACATATTCTTCACAATTTGAGTTCTCAAATGCTAGATAGAACTTGTAGAGTTTTAAAAGTGGGCAAGTCTGAAAATAATGACCATAACATGGGATTCCATATCTACCAAACATATCCACTTGAATGTAGTTTTCCAATTCTTTTATGTACTCCATTCGGAAGTTCTGTGATTGGTAGCCACTTACCATTGCTGACACCATTTTTGTTTTCCCAATTGTATAGTCTATACCATTGTCTGTGGGACTGTCTTTTGGAAATGAATTCCCATAAGGTATATGAATGTCTGACGTTGACCTATAAGTCATTGTCCAGTTGAAATAATTATCCAAACACTCTGTTCCCCATTGTCTTGATGAAAGAAAATAAGGATGATCATTATGAAGGAGGATCCATATTTGGGATGCTTTTCTTGTTTCGCTAGGTGGAAATTGTCTTGGTGGGGCATATTCTTCATATGGATTCAGACTCATAATAGGAACAACTACAGCATCAGCATTTTCTACATCAAAATGATCAATGACCAAGCAGTTATCCACCTGCCAGAATTCACCCATGCTTGTATTCTTTAGTTCACGACCAACAACTTTGCGCTGATATGGCATCCATTGTACAATTTTATATTTCCATGTTTGTTTGGCCATTTTATAATTTGAGCCATGTTGTATTATTTCTGGTTCACATATGCTCTGTTGGTCACTTCCCATGAGTAGGTTATCACCATTTTCTTCATTATCTGTTGGTTCATCTATGTAATTGTTATTTTCAATTGATGCTGATATGGTTTCTTCATTTTCCAACTTAACATTTTGATTTAAAACCAATGTGACATTTGTGTGATGTGTTTCATGTTCCAATTGTACATACTTGTCACCTGTCACATGAGCCATGTTACCATACTTTTGTTCTTTCTTTTCATTTGTATCATGCACAAGGGCCATATTCTCTTCAAAACTATTCTTCATTGGCTTTGATAGGAATATATTAACCTGATATGTCCAGAAACTAATGTATACCAGTATGATAAACATAAATATTGTCCATTTCTCTTTCATCACAAACCTCATGGACATTCTGCTTGTATATTATATCTTTGTGTCATTTAAGTTAAAGGTTCAAATAGGCTTTATCCCATAACTGCTTGTATTGATTACAATTGTTACAAGGTTTTAATTCAGTACTGAACATTAGCAGATGCCCATTAAAAGTTATTATACAGGGATACTGTCAAAGTTGTAGGGGCATGTACCAAATACACTGTCACTGGTATGTCAGAATGTGTCTCTACTTTGTTGCATTAATCTTGCATCTTGTAAGCCTTATTTTGCAATTTTGTAAAATTTTTATTTTCAGAGCTTAGTGGATTTGGCCAAGAAACAACAATTAGAGGCAGGGATAACTCAAAATGGACTAGTTGCTCCCTCAGGTGTCATAACAAGAGGCATGTTATGATGATGGATGGTCAGACTTGGGTTTATGGTGATTGACTGATTGATGGGTTCAGTTTGTAGCCTTTGGCAACAACAGATACATGCAGTGCTTCAACTTAAACATAAATGAGATCTAGTTATGTAGGCTAATTATGAAAACAATTTGGAGCCTGAATCCAGTACAGGGAATGACATTTGTAATTCTTTTCTCTCTCACCTGATCTTAGTATTTCCTGGATTCCTGGATATCAATCGACTTTCTAAAGATTGCTATGGTAGTTTTATATAACACAAGTGAACCTTAGGACCTTATTCTCAAGAAACATCTTCCAGTCCATATATTGTATAGTATTGTAAAGTGTTTGGTAATGGCATGTTAACATTACTTGATCTAATCTGAGCTGTTTAATGTTACTATGGATGTTCATCTGAACACTTCCAAAAGGTATATACCTGCCCCATACCTGCATATGTTATTTTTAAATATAGTGTGCCCCTGATTTAAGATCTTAAAGAACTGTTCAAGCAAATTGATACTCAACTTTTTGGTGAATAAAAAAATAGTAGGCATTTTGTACTTCAAAATTGGCCTTTGTAGTCGAGTCATTTGAAACCACTCTGTAATTTATTTCTCTGGACTTAATTATTCTGCCAACATATTTATCAAAGATTTCGGCTGTTGTTTGCCAAAAAATTGGGTTTCATTTATGGTTTCCTAGTGTCATTAGAATAACAGAAATTTTTGATAGATTTTCAGTTATGTGTATGGAATATTTTCATATATTGTAAAAAATAGCAATTTCCAAAATGAATTGTGTGTGCATTTGTAAATAATGAAAATAAAACATTGAAATATATAATTTGGTCTCATCTGTTGTGGTTTAACTAGTTTTGTAGAAGTCATGTAGCCTGCTTAATGTTATAAGTCACCTTAATGTTATTGCCAAAGTGACAAACGCAGGTTGATCATATCTTTTCTCAAACCACTGAACACTGTCCACTGTCCACAAAAAAGTTGGAGACCATAAAAATATGTCATCACTTGTGGTGACATAAAATGACATAAAAAACAGATATGATATGCTGGTATAATCCATAGTTAATCACATACCTTTAATAATAGAGTATGAAAAGCACAAAAATGGCAGAAAAAAGTATAATATATTGTGAATTTCAATGTAAAAATATGAGGGTATAAAACATATTTTTGATGTCATGACTTGAAGAAAATGTTTATGTCCTATTTTGTCTGCACTTGTTTGGGTCCTCATATTATTTATGTATTCTTTGACTCAGTATTTGGTAAATGACATCTGGGCCTGTTGTATTTTCAATGAGTCTGCAGGCCGAGGATTCTTTATAACATTTAATGGGTGGAATCACTGAACTGTCACTGTTGTCATGATAAAGGGAGAGCAAGGCCAATTGGCTAACATGGCCTGTTATGCCTACATTCTAAAAATCCAAGATCTTAGAACTAGGCTTTTTGGTCTATTTGCAAGCATTGCACTTCTCACTTTAAGCTGTTAGATTCTCCATTTCCATAATCATTTGCATTGCCAGTCAAGAAATAGGCGAGGCATCTTCCTCAACAAAATGTTACAGAAAATATTTATTAGGATTTGTTTTTAAATGAAACTTAATATGAATGCTAAAGCCTCAGTCAAATTTGCTCTACATTGGCCGTAGCTTCACAAAATTGATATAGAAAATCTTCATCGTACTGCATATTTCTCTCGATTTTGGGAAGATTCAGCTGCCATACATTTGCTGTAGATCAAATGTGACTGAGGCATTAGGATATTTTTTATATTGATATTCTTCCTTGCCTATTTTAAGATACTAGATATGCCCCTGATCATGTTTTTCTCAGACACTTTCAATAAACAAATAAATAACATATTTGAAATCTAATTTATTTTTTTCACTGGAATAAGACAGAAAATCACTACATAGAAAATGATCAAAATAATTTTATATATTTATCTAAATCAAGGATAATACTTATTATACTTTTGTGACAGATTTCTCCATTTGATGTTGATATGGAAAAAACAATAGTAATATAAGTAGAATCTTGATTTGATGTTCATCTTGAGGTATCTATTTTTGTTATAAATATATCTGCAAAACTGTTTCATATAAAAAAATAGAATCTACTTTGGAAAGATTTAAAATAATAAATTGAGTATTCTTTTAATAAATAATTTGTATAAATATGTGAGCATGTTTTCTTATTCTTTTTTTTTAGTTTTTTTAAATGCTATTTGTTTCATAGTCCATTATCATGCAGGGTTGGTTTATTATATAATATCCATTCGTTTTTTCTCAAAGTCCATTTTGTGTCATTGATTGTTTATCTTGGGCTTGTTTTGTTGTTTTTTCCGAAGAGTCCAGCAAGGCTCTGTTTCCTGGGGCTTGAAGGGGGTGCAATCTTTGGCACAGCTCCAGATGCAGCTCTGAAATCACAATTATACATATTATTTATTTTATTCATTGTTTTATTACAAACAGAACTTTACATTAATGTAGATTTACTAAATATATGTTCATCATTGCACATATAAATAACTTTATGAAGAAAAGACTCGGGGTTCAAAATTCAATCATTCTTGCAATAATTGAAATGTTTCCTAATGAAAATATAGAAACTTACCCGAAACTTGATTCCTCTTCCTCAGCAATGGTGCTCTCTCTTGTATTTGTTTGTGAAGCGCTAAGATCTACACTTGTGAATGTTTCCATACGTAAGAGTTGATCTGAAGCAGCTGGTGGTGCAGCAGTTGGGTTGTCAGTGTTGGCAGTTGTAGCCTTTTTCTTCCAGAGCTTGCCCATCTTAGCTGCAGCACTAATGCCTCCCATGCCACCAAGCAGTTGAGATTTCCAGTCCACACTTGAGGAGGATATATGAGCTTTGTTAGCCTTCTCCTGGAAAGTCTTAAGATCTTCTTTGGCTTTCTCTTTCCTGGCCTCAATCTGTTCCTCTGTCAGTTCGGTACTAGGCTTCTTATCAACCTTTGCTATCTCGGCAACAACAGCAGCTGCCATAACTGTAGTTGGAGCAGCTGCAGTAGCATTGGTGGGAACATCGTCTGGGAGATTCCATTCTTCAGAGTCATCAGATGATTCGGAGTCATATTCAGAATAATGATCATCAGGATGAATAGACTTGACAGCAGATTGTGGTCTGGGGTCCTCAGGATGTATAGATCTGTGGCTCCTGCCAGTTCCTGGTCTGCTTGTTGGAGCATCTGCTGGTGGGTCAAAGTCAATAGGAGTAACACTATTACGTCTTGGACTCAATGACAAAGACAATGATGACCTGGATACTGAAGACTTTGGTCTATTTCTAGCAGACAATGGTCTCATATCAATGTCTTCCTCATCGTCAAGTGCAGCCATCAGATTGGCAACCTTTCTGGTGCCTGACAATGGTTTGTCAATATCAGTCTCCATGAAGCCAGTACTTTCACGTCTGGAACGACCAGACATTTCAAAGTTGTTTCCAGAGCTAAAGTCTACATCATCATCATCTATATGAGTTCTGAAGCCATATTCATCTTTAGTTTCTGGTGGTGCAGATCCGCTACTCTCAGCCATTTGATCTTGATCCATAAGTAATGGATGGTTCTTGTCCAGTTTATCATCTTCACCCTTCGCTGCATTCTTTTTCTTAATGACCACAATGACTATGATAATGATGAGACCAATTACAACCAGAGCACCTCCAGCAGCTGCAGCAATGATTATTGCCATAGATGAATCTGTTGGGGGTACGTAGTAGTCATAACAGAAGTCCATATAGCCTTCCATGTCACATTCCTCAATGTTCTTCTGTCCTTTGCAGTAGAATGCAAATGCTGAGGCGGTGATATTAGTTTTACTGGTGCCATATCGTTTGAGATCTCTTACACAATTCTCAACAAACATCTGTCCAATTGATATCATATCTGGACACATAGGCATGAGAGCATCAATAGATTCCTTACAGATTTGTCCTTCAGCAGAATCATAAGAAGCAATTGGTGTTGGTATTGCTTTCCTCATGACTGGTGCATTTGAGGGGATCCATACGGGGAGTCTATTTGCAGGTCCCATAGTGCCTTCTGTGCTATGCATTTCACTTGTTGTTGCTTTTGGATAGGCATCATTGAAGTAAATGCGTGGAGTCGAATCACCCTCGTCAAATCCAATATTCAACAGTTGGGCTAAAGTGAACACATTTGTAATGTAGTCCTCAGATTCAGATTTCATTTCACCATATAATTTGGTGTAACTCCACATCTTTACATTGTCAATGTCCATACTGACTTCAGATGTTCCTCCAACAGTGATATCTGCAAGAGTAACAGCTACGCCTGTATTGTGGTATATGCTGGTTTCCTGGCTGAAGGCCCCATTGGTGGTAGTTGTGAGAATGACTCTGCCATCAAAGTTTCTCCACGATACTGTCACCAATGTCCATTCATCCTTGATCAATACTGTGTTATTGTTAGAGATCTCTCCATCCCAGACAAGCTTCACTTTTCCATGATCTGAGCGTAGTTCCAAAGTGCCTTGATTTGTGTTGATGCTGAGAATAATGACATCCAAATCTGCAACATCTGCATCATTTGGTGTTACCCAGGCAGCAAAGGAGAACTCATTCAATGATTCTGAGATGTCACTGAGACCAAATCGGGCAAATCCTCCATTGAATCTCATAGTGAATCCAGCTGATGACATCTCATGTTGTGTGTTGTTGTGTGTCAGTGAGATATTTGTTCTTGTGGTATAACCATAGAGGTATTCGTAACCAAGGGCAACATATTCTCCACTGAGATGTGAATTGAGTAACTCAGCTTCACTGATTGTTTCTCTGATGTCTCCATATACTGCTCCAAAGTTAAAGTCACCTTCCCACGCTTCATCAAGTTTACCAAACATGCCACCTGTCAGTCCAGACCATCCATTGGGCAGTTGTATACCACAGAGTAATTCACCTTGGAACATGGCAACGGTCACATTGACACTGTAGTCTCCTTTTCCAAGTTGAGTTCTAATAACATTTTCAACCTCCCAATATGCAGTCCAGTCACCTAGGAATGTTTCAGTTATAGGGTGCTTAAGTTCTTTTGGTGCAGCATTTTGGTCTTTGTAGAAGTAAGCATACATCTGGTCAGCATGGCGTTGAATTGAAATAGATTCCTCAGCCTGTTTGATTGCTATCTCATTGATAGTTCTACAGTTTGCCTCCTTCTTGCAAGGTCCATATAGGACATGAGCAGATATATCAGCTGTTTCAAAGAGTGTGTATGTTCCAGGCAAAGTAGACTCAGTGGCAGCACCATCAAAGTTGACAACCATGTTGCCCATTATAACAGCACTGGCACCTGTATATTTAGTAGCAGTGTCACTAATGATGTAAACATCACTTGGTGGCATAACTGCTATGTTACAATCCAGGCCATACCACTGATTTGTACACTCTGTGCAAGCATAGGATCCAAACTCCATATCCTCATAAACATTCAGGTAGGGATCTCCACTAGTCCATCTTGAGCTGCAGATGCAGGCACCATTAGGTTGAGAGCAAGATCCATGGGAGTCGCATACACCATTGGATGTTGCATGACATGACTCACTGCAGTTGCTTCCCCAATGGGCTTCATCACATTCACAGCTTGAGCTGGAGACAGTTTTGCCAAACACACAGGTCATATCGCAGCTATCTTTGTACCATGTACTGTTGTCAGAGCCAAATACTCCACAAGCAGGCCATACTGGTATAGATGCAAGTCCTAGCTGAGTTCGGCAGAAATCAGATGCAGCAAGCAATGAAGCAACTCCAGATCCAATATCTGAAGATGTAACAATGTCTTGCGTACACTGTTCAGCATATGTCTTCAATAGAGAGTCACCAATTGCAGAGCAATGAGTGTAGAAATCTCCAGTCATCAGTGCAGCTTGGCACATATCACTGGCCATGTCAAACAGAGATTTATCTGTGGTCCTTGGAATGTTCAATGGTTGAAGTTCTAAGTTGTCTTTCTTCCATGAAGGAGTATTGATCTGTGAGAATGACCTAATTGTCAAATTACCACCAATCTTATCAACAACTTCATTTACACTTGGTTCAAAGTCAAACCATGCGACCAGGTCAGCAAGTTCTTTTGTTGCTGCAATGTTCCAGTTGTTAACTGCAATGCTGGGGTTGTTATCAGTTCTCCATACTCTCAGTTCATCTATATAACCACTGAAGATATCAGTTGTCAGGTTGGACACAACATTCACTCCTAATGTGAGTTTACCACCAGGTGTAAATGTACTGTTTGGTAGATTGATTACAAATGCAGAAGGATCTCCAGCTGAGTTGAACACAAACACTTCCATGACCTCAATGTAGTTATCATACATTATGTTGATCTGGTTCCATTGGCCAAGTTCAAAGCTCATTTCTGTAGTGAGCACTGTATTGTTGGTCATCAAGAACTCAATGACGCCATTGTGGATTGTCAATGCAAACACGTCTGTAGATGTTGTGTATGAGAAGATAGTTCCTCCATTTACATCAGGTTTGACATGCAGCTCCATCATAAACACATCAGAAGGCAAAGTGGTGAATGCATCCAAAGTCATGCAGTTATCGGTGATATGTACTGCCTTTTCATCTCCAACATATGAGCTTAAAGCTTCAGCATATGTCATGAATGAAGTGTCGCTCAGTTTGTATCTGTTCACAAAGCATTGCAATGTTGTTGAAGATACAGGTTCAGAGCAACTAGCTGCTAAACCGCATGGCCGTTGTGACATGCAACATGCAGTTGTGATCTCCAGAGCAGTGTCACAAGATGCAAACATTCCATTTGCACCTGAAACAGATACATCAGATGTTGAGACAGTTACTGTGAAGCTGTCCTCAATACTAGACACAACAACATCAATGTTGCTTATTGAAATAGTAAATGTTGTGGGTGTTGTCCTGTACACATCAAATCTGGAGGAAACAGTCTTATTTGTAAGGACTATATCAATGCCATTCTTTGTGTATACAGATAGGGCATCTGAACTCATGCTGGATGGGTCAATGTAGACAAAATCTGTAGACTGGGTGATGTATAGAGATCCAAGACATGGTGTGTGTTGACCTCTAATCAAACAGTTCTTGGTTGTTCCAGATATAACTGTACCACTAACTCTGAACAATTCAAAGGTTGCAATATCAGTCATATCAAATGAGACCTTATCAAAGGTAGTCACTCTGAGTGTGTTTGTTATCTGTGCAGTTACAAATCCAGATGTTGATGGTGTTCCTTGAAGGATATCACAATCTGCTCCTGTCCAGTCTGCAGCACATGTATCACACGATGCACCAACAAAGTTAGCATGGCATTGGCATGTGCCATCTGTGCCACATGTTCCATGGTTGTTGCAAGGTGTTGCTGCTCCTCCAGGGCAAACTTTGTCACATTCTTCTCCGTAGAAACCTGTTCCGCAAGTGCAATTACCATCTGAATCTTCTTGGCCAAATGTGCATTTATCACACAGGTTGGTCAACCAAGATGGTGTTGTAGAAGATGAGATGTTGCAGAATGGCATTGATGATGCAACAGAGACTGATCTCTTGCTCCTTACAATGACATCCTCATCATATGATCTCTTACGTCTGCCTCCCTCTGACACAGTTGTGTTAGTTGCATTTGCAACAGTTGTGGCTTCAGCTGTGTTAGTTGTGGCAGCTTCTGGCGCTGCAGTTGTAGCATTTCCAGCTGATGCGGTAGTTACAGCAACAGTTGGGGCAACTGTAGTGGCAGGTTCTTCAGCTTCAATCTTGCATATTTCATTCAGCATAACAACAGAGTAGAAAATTCCATCAGTTGACAGTGCATTAATACCTCCATCTACGCAAGCAGCTTGGAAGTACTCAACAAGTTGTTCATCAAATGCATCACATGTTCTAGCAAAGAACTGTGCACATATGATCTTTGTTGTTTCAGTCAGTGTTGTATTTTCTTCTTCTACGGCAGCTGTTGATGTGTGCATTGGTGCATCAGAGTATCTCCACTGAGGAGTTGACCAGGGATCAACAGGCATATATACACTATTGTCATCTCCTAGATCCTTGACTGTTCTTCCAACACCAGATTCCATCTTGTACAAATGCTCAATCTCAGAGGAATATGATTGAATCTTCACATTCAACATGAATGATTCATAGATCACATTATGAGTTAGTCTCTTGTTCCAGACTGCAACCTCATCCATCATACCCTTAAAGTTCTGTGAGAAGGTATTAGACATGTTAGATGATGGTGACAGGATGTATGCACCAAGGTTGATCATGTATGCACCTTGCATGATGTTATCAGATTCCAGCATGATCGTTTGGTATGTGACCTTCTTCCATGGATCAAAGTGGTAGAAATGCACCTGTGAACTTGATTTCTCAAAGACCAAAACAATATGGTTCCATCTGTTCACAACATTTCTTGCCTTTGTAATGTGATCTCTTGATCCAATCCTCACAACCATATCTCTATCATTGCTAATGGAGATTGTATCTTTGCCCTTTAGAGAGAAGATAGAGCCTCCATATGCAGTTGGTTTCACCATGAGACTGATTGTAAAGTCATTGTCCAAGTGCCCGCTGTCAACAGTGTATTTTGAACTCTTACTTTCAACAGATGTTCCATCAAAGTAGAGAGCATATCCTGCTTCAGTGTTAGCACTCAGAGACAGGTATCCATCTGAGTTGAAAATACTTGAACCATATGTAACCTGGTGGGCAGACAGTGTTGCAGTAGCTAAGGTCTCTTTGGTCTCTGTCGTGAATGCAGTTGTGTTGGCACTATTGGCACATGATGCAAATACACCAGTTGTAGCCATACAAACTGTGGGATCAGCCTTTACAGTAATCTGCAGGAATCCTCCAGTGAATACAACATTGATGTTTACAACTTCTGGTGTGGCAACAGCAACAGACAGCATTTGTGTGGCTTTCTGGGTAACACTAATGGTACTTGTCACAGAGTCAGTCTTATCTCCTAGGTAGTGTCTTACACCATTTAGGTAGAGAACTGGAGTACTCATGACATCATCAGGGTTATATGCATACATGGTGAACTTGTCTGATCCATGCTTCACAGCCACAGCATCAATACATGACCCATAATCGCAGAACACAGTATGGACTTGGACCTGTAATTCTAGATTGGTTTCTTCAAGGACGTTCAATACTCCAGAGAAGTCATTGATGGTTTGCACCACTCCAGTGAATGAGAGGTAGTCTCCTACACTTGAGGCTCCAGCAGTCTTAACAGGGAGTTCAGCAGCAGTTGATACAAGGATGCTACAGTCTGAGCCATAGAATCCAGATACGCATGTGCCGCAGTCTGATCCTTGCCAGTTGTGTTCACAATCACATGTTCCAGCTTGAGTACATGTTCCATGGTCATTACATGGTCTTCCATTGTGTACCTCACAAAGGTTGTTACATGCTGCTCCATAGAATCCACTTAAGCAATTACATGTGGTTGTTGCATTTGTATTGTTCGTTGCAGGTGTTGTTTCAATGGTTCCGAATACACATGAAACATTACATGTGCTTCCTACTCTCTGTGGAGTCTCTGGATCAGAACATACATCTACAGCTGGCCATGTGCTAAGTTCGAGAGTGTTCTCACATACATCAGCATAGTCATACATAGTAGTGTAGGCATTGTTGGTATTTCTACTCAATATGACATCTCGTTCACATTCAAGTAGGAACAGTTCAGCCACACTTGCAGAGATGCCAGTACATGTTACACCAGTCAGTAAGCTTTGACATTTCACTCTTGCAAGTTTCTTGAGTTCGGGGTCAGCAAATGTAGTGTAGAGTCCATTTTGACCAATAGTGACCATTTCTGGTGCATCTGATGCTACCCATTCTGGTTTAGACCAGGATTTACCAGGTAGTTCAAATATGAGGTCAGAGTTGTAGGAATCTACAGCATAGCCTTGTCCTTCATTGAAGTCCCATGCGCCAGTGATAGTAGCTGTGGCTTCAGCAATGTTCATGTCCCAGACATCATAGATGTATGTTGGCTCAATGAGAATATTCCAGATACGGAGATTGTCAAGCTGTCCAGTAAAACCTGCTGGGATGTTATAACCTTCTCCATCATTTGGCGCCATCCACTGTCCAAGAGCAAGCATACCAGCATTCTCAAATAGATCGCTAGGTAAGGTTAGAGCTGTTCTCTCTACTGTGCCGTTTTGATTGAAGATGAAAACATCAGTTTTGCCAGTCTTGCCTTCGTATGACATCACAAACTTGTTCCATACACCAGATTCCAGTGCAAGACCAGAGTCGTATGATGTTGTTCCAACAGTCATTCTAACAGTTGTGGAAGTGACAATGGCAAATGAGGCATCATTGGTGTATGACAGAAGAACACCATCTGATTCAACCTTAACAAGGAATTCAATGGACACATTTGCCGTCAGAATCTCAGTTATCTTGGAGTCAGATGTAATTGTTGTTCCATCAAAGTTCATAGCAAATCCACCTTGGCCTTGATCCCTATTGGTCTGGTCATCAAAGATGATCAGGGAATCACAGGATAACATTTCCCATAGAGAGCAGTATGCGTTCAGGGTGGTGTCTGTGATGGGGTCTGTTACTGGTGGTTGTACAGGGGCAAACAATGCATTTGCAGAGATGGTGCCAGCCTGGGGTGTCATTTGTGGTGTTTGCAGGGTCAAGGATGTTGAGCATAAGCCTACAGAAGAGGGATACCCAGTTGAGTACACAATATGACGCTGAATAATATCCGCATCGTCAGATCCTGTTCCACTGAGAATACCCTTAGTTGTTCCAATAACTTCTCTGGGGAGGTAGACTGTGAGATGTAAGTAAATACCAACAGTTCTCACAACCATTCTCACTTCACCTTGGGTGATAGTTGCAACAATACTGACTTCATCAACAGATAATCTCTTCACATAGAAGCCCTTGAAGTAGACATCAGCATCGCTATCATGTAGGACATCATTGATGTAGACATCTGCTCTTGGGGCCCTATCTGAACTGGTGTGGATACTGAGCTTGCCATGTTTGGTGGTACCATCTCCCAATGCAATAGCCAAGTTGGTCACGCATGATGAGTTCTGGTAACATTTGATAAGCTTTCCTTGAAGGAGGATGTTAGAGTTGATGTTCATCAAGTGGTATTCTCCATAGACATTTGTGACGAAGCTTACTCCATCCAATGTATACACATGTCCCTTATCAGTCAGCTTGGCTACACCATGGCTTGCTGAAGAAGGAGATGGGTTGATAATGAATGAACAATCATCGCCATACCATCCAGATGTACAGTTGCTACAGTCAGGGGCTCCCATACGGTTCACTGGGCAGTCACATGCTCCCATAGCCACATCGCATGTTCCATAGCCAGAGCATGAGGTCTCCAAATCATCTCCACCAGGACAAGTAGAGTTGCAGGATTCACCCCAGTAGCCATAATGGCATGAGCACACAGAGCTATTATCAGCATGGGGTCCACCAAATACACATGGGATGTCACAGTATGATCCAATCCATCCTGGGAAGTCAACACTGGGTCCAAATGCATTACATAAGGACTGAGCAGGGTTGGTTGCCAAGCCTAATGATGCCATACATTCCATAGCATAAGCCAACATGGGATCAAATGCTGAATCTTTGTCATCAGTGAAGTACAGGTTGGATACACACTGGTAGAAGTAGTCTTGTTGTTTTGATGCTCCCAACGGTGCACATGTACTGAAAATAAAAACATGACAAAATAAATTTACATTCCAGCTCTATGTTAGAGAATTATCAATAAACAATCTTTAAATATGTCAAAATGCTTGTTCCATTTCAAATCTTTTCAAAAAAGTTCAGCTGAACTAACTTGTTAGGAAAATTGACAGTTGTATAATATTGAAAATATTCATGAAGATAAATTCAAACTCACGTTGCAAGTTCGCTCTCAACAAATAAGAAATCGCAGAAGTCAAAGATTGCATCTCGAGTCAGAGGTCCCTCACTAGTAGATCTCCTCCTTCTCTTGCTGGTATTGTTTTTGCCACTTGTATCAATGGTGACGGTATAGGGAACTAGTTCCGTGCTATCTTCATCCTTTGGTACAGGGGCATCAGAGAGGGAGTTCTCAGGTGCCTTGAAGGGCCTCTCAGGGACAGCCATTGGTGCCAAAGATACCTCATCATAGCTCACAATACCTGCATCATATAATATTGTCACATTATTGAAGGATTACTTATATTAAACTAATTCACATGTAGAATCTTCCACATATCTAGATTTTTAGTGTTTCCTTTGGTAAATCAATTATAAAATTATTTGTACGTTCCGATCTGAAATACAGTTTACATATAATTTTTAAAAATCAAACTAAATTGAGGAATGCAAAATACTGTACCTGCTGCATCATCAAACTTCCACAAATACTCCAATCCATCAAGAGGAGACTTCCAGTTGGTGTTCCAGTGAGTCTCAACCTCCAGATTGTGGAACCATCTAGAACAAAATGTGCATTATATTACATGTATGATACAACTTGTGCAGAGATGTTTTCATCAACCATTGTCCTCATCATTGGGTATTTTCAATGTTTTATCAACGAAATAATTCACAGAACATAGCTTTATATGTGGGAACCAACTAGGTCCTTTGGTCCCACCCTCTGATACTCATCCTATTCCCTTAACAGAGATAATGTTAACTGGTGAACTTACCTGTTCCAAATGCGGAGTTCATCCATGCATCCTGTGAAGTGATCCGCAATCTGTTCATCCACAGTCCTTGTCTCACTGCTACCAGCTGCAGACATCCATCTACCCAACGCAAGGTTGCCACCGGATACGAATGGATTTTCCTAAAATCAGAGTATGTGTGTCTAAGTATTGGAGAAAAATTCTTTATCACATAGTTAGTTTTGAACTCATTTATTCAGCATACTGATTTTCAAAAGGCAATAATTCTGATGTTGTTTAACATAAAAGTGTCCAGGAAAGAATATGTGTTAACTTACAGCCATTGTCAGGATTCTTCTGCTCGCTATTCCATTGTTGTCCATTACATAGACATCTAAGGTCATACTTTCACTGTCATATGTAAGAGACAACTGGTTCCATTCAAGGTTCTCCAAGGCAATATCCACATACTGAACATCTTCACCAAGGTGAATCTCCAGTACTGGACCCTTGTGCATTACTGCAAATGTCTTGGTGTTGGAATATGACAATATAGTTCCTAGAAGAAAAGAATAATATGTTTTAACAATAAATAGTACTATGATTAGAAAATTAAACATGTTAACAAAATGTCAATACATTCAGATAAAATGAGATTAATATTAGGATTTTGTAAATTTTAAACTAGATTAGATGTAGAACTGACATTGTTCACTGTCACATACAGGCTGACCCAAAACTGGACTGATTAAAAATGAATATAACATTTTATCATTAATCATAAAAACAAGAATACATACCTTGACATGAAGCAGCACTGCAAGTGCGGACAAGAAGCTCAATGGTGGCAGAACCATCTACATTATTCTCAAAGTTGACATTCTTGGCAATAGCCGATGATCTGTCAAAGCACAATGTGTACCCGCCACCCAGCTCTGTATCCCAAATGGATAAATTGCCAAAGTGACTATTGTTACCACCAACAGAGTTACAGGCGATGAATTCTTCGATTTCACTCTGGGTTGTGCAGTCTTCAAATCTTGGACATATCACTGGAGCAGCAGTTGGCACAGTGGTTACTTGTGAGCCCTCTGATACTGGAAGATCACCATACAAAACACATGGGAGACCTTGGTCAGATTCACAGTCAGAGCAGCTTCCACATAAACCACCGATCTCGTTACCACAGCATACAAAGTTCGACACCTCGAGGATGTTATGTAGACGAGTCTTGAATGTATACACAGTGTAAGTCATACTGAGCTCAGGAATCTGGAACCTATAGGCAAGATTCTGGGGTTTGCTGAATTTGATACTGCATCCTCCATTCACTGCTATTTCAAGAGGGCTAGCAGATGTGATGATTGTACCATCGATCTTGAGCTGACCACTGTACTGGCTCACTAACTCCAAGGTAACCAGGCGGTTGTGGAACTTAAGGGCAACTCCCACAATACACAGGCCTTCACTGCATGAACGCATGATTACCTGATAAAAGAAAAAGAATACACATTAAGATATTATGAAGGAGACAACTGAAGTATTTTTATTAAAAACGTGACTAAACAATAGTCAACTGTTTTCATTTAGTTAATTTGAACTAAGCAAAAATCACAATTATTATGGTAATCAATTCTTACCTGAATGTCCAGATTGTCCATCTTTGTTAGTGAGTATGTTCCAGCTGAAGGCACAGTGATACCATTATACAAGTAGTTCATGATGTCACCATTCACTCCAGTCGAACATGTTGTCTTCAGTCCTGGTGGCAATTGTGGTTTGAATATAGCACAGTCATCTCCAATGTAGTCTGCAGAACAGTTGGAACAAATGGAGTTGCCGGCCCAGTTCTTGTCACAGAGACAGGTTGCAGTTGTCTGTTCACACACACCATGGCCGGAACATGGAGTCCCTTCTCCAGGGCATGTAATATCACAAGTCAGACCACTGTAGCCACTATCACATAGACATGTCTTGGTAGGTTGATGGGGACTGCCATGTAAGCACTCCACTGTGCAGTTTTCTCCAGTCCAAGTTGGGAAGGCCTTGTTGGGGAAATCGTTACAGAGTTCTTGTGCTGGCCAGTTCTTCATACTCATGATGTCTTGGCACTTGTCAGCGAATTTGATAACAGAATCAAAACCAGCTTCTAGGTCACCAGTTTCAGAGATATCCATTAGACATTGCATGTAGTAATAGTTCAGACTTACAGGTAGATATTGACATTGGACAAATATTGGTCCTTTATAGAACAATGCCATACATGTTGCATTGGCCTGCTCTAGTAGTGCAGGATCACTGAAGTCCATCATCATGTTCACAGAATCACCCTCAGTTATATACTCAGGGCTCTCATTGGCTTGCCAGACATCAGGATCACTGCACATAAAGGTCATCTTCAATGTGGCCAGTGCATCAAATGTGTGTTTACCATTTCCTTCATTGAACATCAACAGTGCCAAAAGTTCACTCTCTGTCTTCACTATTGTTCTTCTAAAGTGTTGCAATAGTTCAGCTGGTCCAAAATTGGAGCCCCAGATGGCGAATCTGTTAAAGTAGCCTCTGTATTGTGCTGTTGGTCGGTTGTTATCATTACTAGATCCTGACAATTGCCATTTACCAAGAGCAATAGTGCCAGCTGCAGGGAATATATCAACACCAACATTGATGAGCTTATAGCGTGGTACCATGTCAGCATTTACATAATGAAGCAGCATCTCACCAGTCTCAATGTGTAAACTGAATGACACCTGTCCCCACATTCCTGTTGTGACTGACATACCAGAGTTAATCTTAGTGCCATCTGGTTTGTGAATTGTAATCTCACCCTCATCTAGTGCGAATCCAAACGTGTCATACTTTGTAAATGACATGAGTGTTCCACTTGCATGAGCTGATGTTGTTGTATTCATTGGTTTGATCACCATCTCCATTGTGATGTACTCACTAGAAAGAAGGTTCTCTACAGGTAGTGATGCCAATCCACAATTATCAAGATATACAGAATATTCTATGACCTCAGCAGTTGAAACATTGAGTGAGACTGATGTATTAGCAGAAGCATCACTCCCTTCAGTTGTATCAGGCAAGTTAGCAACCACTTGGAAATCATTATCCAAATGACAAGATCTATCTACAGGATCACAATAGTCCTTTGGATCACAGTGTCCACATATGCCGTAACTCTCCAAGCATTGGGACTCTGATGCAAGGGTGAAGTGAACACTAAGTGAAGTATTCAATCTGCGTATTCTCAATGCAATGGCATCAGGGCTATCTACAGTTATAGAATAGGCTGAATCCCTCTTGATTGTGTATCCATCAACCGTCATCTTATCAACAGTGACTGGAATGTGATTCAATGTGAGATCTGATGAGTTATGGTTCATGTTGGTTTCAAAGATGCTATTGCCGATACGGATACCAACATTTTTAATGCAGACATCTCTTTCAGGACAAGCCTCTTGCCAGACTACCACAGTGAATCTCTTCACTGGATCAGAGTACAATGGCATAGCTGCATTCTTTGTATGCTTCAAGATTTCATCACTGAATAATTTGAAGTATCCTTCAAATGCACTGCATGTGTATGGAGCCTCTGCTTCCAGTTCAGTCTCTGTACATTGGTCACCGATCCATCCTTCAGAGCAAGCAGAGCAGTTGTCATTACCACCCCAGTTGATACTGCAATCACAAGAGCTGGTTTCAGCAACGCAGACACCATGTCCACTACAAGGGTTCATGTAACCTCCAGGGCAGACTTCATCACACTCTACACCTGCATAGCCAGCGGCACAAACACATGTATCAGTATTCACACCATCAGGATGTTTGCATGGAATGTCACAGTTTGCTCCAAGGAATCCAACATCATATAAAGCACATAGTGACTGAATAGGTGATTCATCCAGATCAAGTGCCAATTGAATCAAGTCAGCTAATGGTACTATAACATCAGTTGAAGTTACCAAATCTCCAGATACAGCAACCTGTAGCATGCAAACTGCTTTGTAGTACTGGAACACAGCGCTTCCAAGAGAGGCCTCAGCAACTGCCTTAATGGTGTTGATTCCAGTTGTACAAAGGTTATCAGCAGAAGCCTCAAGAACAGGATCATCAAATGAATATGATTCACTGATTGGTTCAGCTCCAATAGGGGCATAGCAGAACTGCCATGTGACACCATAGAATGTAATTATCATTAGATCTGAATCACCCAATGAGTCATCAACTCTGAATCCTTTGCCTTCATTGAATGACCAATATGCAACTGTTCCTTCCTCCAGAAGACGTGTACTCTGTCTAGCACTATAGGTGATCTCTGAATATGAGAAAGCCTTGTGCCAAATATGAACCTGATCAAGAGCTCCATGGTATGGTTCTTTAGGAGGCAATGGAATAGTGTCATCAAAAGCTGGCATCCATTGTCCCATGACAACAGTACCACCAGCTGTGAATGCATTAAGATTGCCATCATCAATGTTGAATGTCCTGTATTTGGTTGCACCAGTAGATGAGACAAGATATATCATCATAATGTTCTTCCTGGACTCATACACAGTCATAATCCTCCACCAAACACCAGTATCAAGAACAAACTGAGAATCAAATATCTGCGTACCAACTTGCACCTTCAGAGTGCCATTAAGGTATATCACAAATGTTGATTCATAACTGTATGCCAGTATTGTACCTACATCTGAGAATGGTTTCACAAAGAGCTCTACGGTGATATCTACATCTGGTATGAATAGATCATCAATTATACTGGTTGCCATGACAGCATCATTCAATACAACACAGTATCCAGAGTTGTCTCCAGCGTCCTTCTCCTCATGGAAAGTTGTTGTGTTAGAATACAGAATTTCAAATGCAGCTTCATTTAGTGAAACAACAAGATCTTCTGGCTCCATAGGGAAGTCAGCAGTATTATTGCCCGTGGTGTCAACCATTCCAGCAATTGAATTTATCTTACCAGTTTGATATTCAGGCACTTTGGTCATAATACTGAGGTACTGGTTGTTAGATCTGATTTTGATTTCAATACCAGTAGATGTTATCAGCGTGTAAATACCAAATCCATCCATTGTCAGATTGAAGTTAGCTGTCACAATATCTTTCAAACCAGTTGTGTCTTCAACACCATTCACGAAGATAACAGCTGGATCACTATCAGTGTATGCACCTCTAACGATCAACTGTTCTCCATTTTGCTCAAAGGACACTGCCTTGAGGCAGTTTGCTCCTCCCTGGCAAGTTTCAGTGAAGATCTTAATATCTGGGTTTTTAATGGTGTTAGTTGACCTTATGAAGTAATATTCTCCAGGTGTTGTAAATTCGTACAAGGTGCCATCAAAGCTCTGTATATGTCCTTGTCCAATAAATGCAGCGTAGTATGGAGTCTTAATGGGTTCAGGCTCCTCTGGTTTTGGTTCGGGTTCAGGTTCAACATAGTCTGGATTAATGTTAGTCTCAGGCAATTTACCAAGGATATCATCACCAGTGAACACCTGTTCTTCAGAATAGGATACATTATCTGGGCCTATGTATTCATACACAAATGTTGAATCATTTGCTGGAACAGCAAAGCTTGTTTGTACAATTTGAATGATATCAGTCATGTCAAGTTGACCAATGCTTGTAACATCTTCAGCTGTTGTTCCTCCTTCAATGGAGTCACTTTCTGGAGTTGGTGTTGTGATTGTTACTTCATTTCCAGATGAGTCAGTGATTATATACACATTAATGCTCACTCGATAAATGGTCCATCCAAAGAGGGTAACAGATGTTCCTGTTTCAAGATTAATTGGATTTCCAAGTATATCTTGAACACCAATTATGGTGATTGTTATGGAGTATCCAGTATACTTATCAGTAACTAAATAACTGCCACCTGTTTGTTCAGATATGGTTAGGTCACCAATTGTTGCACTTTCACGAGATTCAGTACCAACAGGGTTACCATCGGCATCAGTCAGACCAGAAGTTGGCACAACAGTGACTGTCACATCATTTCCATTGGCATCTGTGACTGTGTATGTTGCCTCATCTACCTGGGTTATTGTAACATCACCTATTGTGGTGGTGCCAGAAGTCAGATCAAGTGAATCTCCATTCTGATCAGTTAAACCTGAGCCTGTGACTTGAATAGCATTTCCAGATTCACCAGATATTGAATAAGTACCATTGTCACTGTGAACAATTGTTAGGTTACCAACATTTGCTGTTTCCTGTGACACAGCACTAACTGTATCGCCATTTTCATCAGTTAACCCTGTATCTGGCTCTTCAGGTGGTGTTATTGTAACTGTTAACTCATTACCAGATCCATCTGTGACCAGATAAGTTGTTGAATCAACTTGAGTGATAGTTACATCTCCTATTGTTACAGTTCCTCCTACAGAAATGTCAATTGTATTTCCATTCTCATCTGTGATTCTGCCAGATTCTGTGATATCAACTGAATTGCCTGACTCATCAGTTATTTCATATGAACCAGTTTCATCATGTGTAACAATCAAGTCACCTACTGATCCAGTTTCCTGTGAGGTGAGATCAATTTGGTTTCCATCTCCTCCCAACAAACCAGATATGATATTTGTCACTGTAGTTGTAACCACTGTAACTGTTACTTGAGTCATAGTTGATTCATCTGTTATAACATAGGTATCTCCATCTACACGGTAGATTGTAATCCCACCAATTGTTGTTGATGTTCCTGGTGAGATATTGATTACACTACCTATCATATTAGTGATGCCTGTTACTGTTATTGCAAATGAGTCTCCGGATGAACTATCAGTTACTGTTATGGAGTCACCATCACCATGTGTAATACTCATGTTACCAAGTGTTGCAGTCTCTTGTACAGTGACATCAACAGTGTTACCATTTGAGTCAGTTAGGCCACCAGTTTCAGTTGAAGGCACATTAACTGTGACCCCACTTCCTGATGATCCATCCTCAATTGTGTAAGTATTATCATCCACTCTGGTTATAGTGATGTCACCATCTGTTGTACTACCTCCAGGAGAAATATTTACATTGGTTCCATCGCTTGTGGTTATTCCAGTTTGTGTCACATTGATAGTTGTATCAGAAGTTCCATCAGTAATAGTGTATGAGTCTCCATCACTTGGTGCCAAAGTCAAATCTCCAACAGTTTGATTTGATCCGGATGATATATTCAGTACATTACCCTGTTGGTCAACAATTGCTGTTTCTGTTGTTGATGTTGAGGGAACACTGACTGTGATCACATTGCCAGATCCATCATCTATTGTATATGTGTCTTCATCCACTCTAGTAATGGTAATATCACCATCAGTTGTGCTTGTGCCTGGTGGAATGGTAACAACATTGCCATCAGAGCTAGTGATGCCTGATTCAGTTACAACAACAGTGGTATCAGAAGAACCATCAGTTATTGAGGTAGTATTACCATCAGTTGAGACACTTACATCACCAATGACGGTAGTTCCTCCATCAGGAACAACAATAGGATTACCCTGTGCATCAGTAACACTAGTTTCATCTGTTGTTGATGTAGGTATATTGACAATTATCTCACCACCAGATGAGGAATCAATTATTACATATGTATCCTCATCAACGCGAGAAACTGTGACATCACCAACACCATCACTGACTCCAGATGGTATGGTGACAACATTACCATCATTATCAATGATTCCAGCTCCTGTAACAGATAAACTGTCTCCAGTAGTCTCATCAGTTATTGTGTATGAATCTCCTTCACCTTCTGTGATAGTCATATCTCCAATAGTTGTACTACCTCCAGATGATACATCAATCACATTACCTTGTTCATCAGTTATAACTGTTTCTGTATCAGTTGACCGTGGGACGGTTACAGTTACTTGATTGCCAGAGCCATCATCTATTATATATGTATCTTCATCAACACGTGTAACTGTAATATCACCATCAGTCGTTGTACCACCTGATGATACAGTGATGATATCACCATTGCTATTTGTGATACCTGTTTCTGTAACTGTAATAGTATTTGAACCATCAGAGACAGTGATTATATCATCATCACCTTGGCTAATGGTTAAGTCACCAACAGTTGCATCACCAGATGTAAGATCAATAGTACTTCCATCATCACCAGTTATAGTAGTTGGCACTACAGTGACATCAACTTCACTTCCAGTTGCAGTATCATTTACATTATAAGTGATATCATCAGTTTTGGTAATGACTATATCACCAATGGTTATATTTTCTCCAATTGAGATACTGACAGTGTTACCATTAGCATCCGTTACACCAGAGGTTGTTACTGTGACTGTACCATCAGAGGACCCAGTGTTAATTGAATAATTTTGTCCATAATTTTGTGTAATGGACATATTACCAACTGTTGCTACTTTCTCTGATACCAAGTCAACTGGATTTCCATTTGCATCAACAATAGATGATTCTGTTTCTGTTGTAGGGGGTACATCTACTGTGACACCACTATCAGAGGAATTATCATAAACAACATATGTGTCATCGTCAATACGTGTTATAGTTACATCGCCAACTGTTGCATCACTACCTGGTGCAATATTAATCAGAGTTCCATTAGTATCAGTAATTCCAGTTCCTGTAATTGTGATGTTGCTACCGGATGATCCATCAGTTATTGAGACTGTGCCATCATTTCCTCCAGGTTGCGATATGGTTATGTCACCAACTGTTGCATCACCTGATGAAGTATCAATCACATTTCCTTGTTGGTCAGTAATAACTGTTTCATTAGTTGTTGTTACTGGAACTGTGACTGTGACTGCACTGCCTTCTTCATCTGTGATAACATATGTGTCATCATCAACACGAGTTACAGTGATATCGCCAACTGTTACACTAGTTCCTGGTGCAGTATTGATGACATCACCATTGGTATCAGTTACACCTGTTCCTGTAATGGTAACAGAGCTGTTGGCTGAAGCATCCCCAATAACAATATTATCTCCATCACTTGGTGTGACAGTTATATCTCCAACAGTTGTACTTTCTCCTGATATGAGATCAACTGTATTTCCTTGTTGGTCTGTGATAACTGGATCAGTAACTTCAGAAATATGAACATTTACTGTGATGTCACTATCTGAGGATGAGTCAGTTATCACATAAGTGTCTTCATCAACACGTGTGATAGTCAAATCACCATCAGTAATACTTGTTCCTGTTGGAATGTTGATGATATTACCATCACTTCCAATGATTCCTGAATCAGTAACTGTGATATTACTGTCTGATGAGCCATCAACTACTGAGAAACTTGTTCCAGAATTCTGAGTAATTGTCATATCTCCGACTGTACTGCTTGATCCAGGTGTGACATCTACTGGGTTTCCATCTCCATCCGTTATATCAGGTGATGGTGGTACTGTAACAGTTACTTCATCTCCAGATGGTGATGTAACAACATAGGTATTATCACCGGTCTGTTGAACTGTTACACCTCCTATTGTTGTAGTCTGACCAGGTGATAGATCTAGATCACTACCAGTTTCTGGTACTGTCACAGTCACTTGGTTGCCATCTCCATCAGTAACAATGTATGTGTCATCATCCTGTCTCTCAATTGTTACATCACCAACTGTAATTTGTTCACCTGGTGACAGGTTAACCACATTACCGTTGCTGTCAGTAACACCAGAACCAGTTATAGTTGCAGATTCTCCAGAAGAGCTATCACCAACTGTGAATTCACTATCTCCACTAACAGTATCAGTTCCCTGAGTAATTGTTATATCACCAATTGCGGAGCCTCCATCTGAAAGATCAATAGTGTTTCCATCTTGATCAGTGACACCAGGCGTTTCTGGAACTGTGACTGTTACTTCATTACCAGATCCATCTGTTGCAACGTATGTTCCATCATCCTGCCTCTCAATGGTTATGTCTCCAACTGTTACATTCTCTCCTGGAGCAAGGGTAACTGTCTCACCATTGCTGTCAGTAATGCCAGAACCAGTTATAGTTATGGTTTCCCCAGAAGAACTATCACCAACTGTGAATGATGTACCTGTAGCATCTCCAGTTCCAGAATCTGCTTCTTGAGTAATTGTAATATCTCCAACTGTTGTAGGGTCGCCAGGTGTTACATCAACAGGGTTGCCATTTCCATCAGTTACACCACCTTCTGTTGGTGGTGTAGTAACAGTTACTCCAGTCTGAGTTATAGTTACAGATGAACCAGATGATCCACCATCAACAGTGAAACTATCACCACCATCATCAGTAGCAATAGTCAAGTCTCCTACATTTGCAACTTCTGTGGATGTAAGATTAACAACATTTCCAGATTCATCTGTAAGGACTGTTGTGGGTGGAGGTGGTGGTGTAACAGTCACTGTAATCACACTTCCTGATGATCCATCAGTTATGGTATATGTGTCTTCATCAACTTGTGTGATTGTCACATCACCAACTGTTACATTCTCACCTACCGTTGTTTCAATAGGAATACCATTAGCATCAGTGATACCTTTACCTGTAACTGTAACAGTCTCTCCTGACGAACCATCTGATATTGTGTAGGTATCTCCACCTTCTTCATGACTGTCTTGATCGACAGTCATGTCACCAACAGTGGTGCTTCCATCAGTTGAGATATCAACAACATTGCCATTTTCATCAGTTATAAATGTGAGAGGTACATCAACTGTAACAATTACTACACTTCCTGTTGCATTGTCAGTTAATACAAATGTGTCATCATCCAACTTTGTCAGAGTGACATCATCAATTGTTGTATTCACCCCTGTTGTGATTGGTATGACATTACCATCACTATCAATAACACCTGTACCTGTAACTGAAATTGTATCCCCTGAACCAGTATTTACTGAATAAGAGTCACCATTATCTGATGTAACAAGTGTCATATTGCCAACAGTCGAAACCTTTTCTGATACTAAGTCAACAGTATTACCTGATTCATCAGTAAGAAGTGTATCTGTATCACTACCTGGGGCAGGAGTTTCTGGGACAGTAATGATCACTTGGTTCCCATCTTCATCAGTTACAATGTATGTTTCATCATCCTGTTTTTCTATTGTTACATCACCAACGGTAGTTTGTTCACCTGGTGACAGGTCAACTGTATTACCATTGCTGTCAGTGACACCAGAGCCAGTTATAGTAGAAGTTTCTCCAGATAAGCTATCACCAACACTAAATGATGTCTCTCCATCAGTGTTTCCTTCATCTCCAGAATCAGATTCTTGAGTGATTGATATACCACCGACTGTTGATGTATCTCCAGAAGATAAATCAATTGGATTTCCATCATTGTCAGTTACACCAGGTTCAGTTGGAGTATTTATTGTAACTGTTACATTGCTGCCAGTTGATTCATCAGTTATCACGACGGTATCCTCATCAACCTTGGTGATTGTTACTCCATCGACGGTCGTATCTCCTCCTGGTGAAAGGTCAATTGTGTTGCCATTACTATCTATCACTCCACTTCCATTGACTATAACAGCATTACCAGAGTCACCAACAATTGAATAAGAATCTGTGTCTTCTTGACTGATAGTCAAGTTACCAACTGTTGCCTCTTCACCTGATGATAGATCGACCACAGTGCCATTGCCATCCTTTACAAATGATGAAGGTATTGTGACCTCAACTACAACCTCAGTTCCTGATGAGTCAGTAACAGTGTATGTGTCCTCATCTACTTGTGTTATAGTAATATTGTCAACAGTTATTGTTTCCCCTGGTGAGAGGTCAACTGGATTACCACTACCATCAGTGATGCCTGTCCCAGCAACTGTAACAGAGCTACCTGTAGTCTTATCCATAACTGAATAGGAGTCTCCGCCGTCTTGTGTTACAAAAGTCATATTTCCTATATTTGCAACATCCTCTGGCACTGTAGTTACTACATTACCAGATTCATCAGTTAAGACAGTATCCAAAACTGGAGGTTCAGGAGATGTTATTGTAATTTCATTTCTAGACCCATCAATTATAACATAGGTATCTTCATCAACTTGAGTGATAGTCAGATCTCCGACTATGGCCTGTGTACCTGGTACAAGGTTAACTGGGTTATCATTGCTATCGGTTATTCCAGAACTTGTAACTGTTATATTACCTGTTGAGGTACCATCAGACACAGAATATGTGGTTTCATCATCTTGTGTGATGGTGATATCACCAACAGTAGCACTTTCCCCAACAGACAGTTCATGTGTGTTGCCATTCTCATCTGTCACAGTAGTGGAAACAAGTGGAATGACAGTCACAACAACTTCACTTCCAGATGAACCATCCATTACAACATAGGTGTCATCATGAGTCTTATAGATTGTTACATCTCCAATTGTGATGTTCTCTCCAGGAGCCAGATTGTGTGTATTACCATCTCCATCAGTGATACCACTGCTAGTAAATGTAACACTGCTACCAGAGGAACCATCAGTTATTGTGTATGTTTCACTCTTGTCTTGAGAAATGGTCAAATCTCCAACTGTAGCATCATCATCTTTTGTAACAACAATTTCATTGCCATCTAAGTCTGTTGTGCCAGTTTGGTGTTGCAATGGAACTGAAACTGTAACTTCACTTCCAGATGTTCCATCAGTAATCACATAGGTGTTTTCATCTACTTGAGTGATAGTCACATTTCCAGATGTTACATTTGTTCCTGGTGTGAGATTAATCAAGTTACCATCAGCATCAGTGATACCAGTTCCTCTTATAGTTATAGAGCTATTAGTTGTTGTACTGTCTATTGTGTATGTTGTACCATCATCCTGTGATGTCAGAGTCATGTTACCAACTGATGCAACTTGTTCCGAAACCAACTCTACTGTATTTCCATCAGAGTCTGTTAGACCAGGTGAAGATGGTGTAGAAACAGTAACAGCTGCCTCATTACCAGACCCATCAGTTATCACAACAGTGTTATCATGAACTTGATGAATCGTGATATTACCAATTGTAGTCTGCTCACCAGGAGCAAGATCGACTGTGTTACCATTTTCATCAGTTATTCCTTCATTTGTGATTGTGACAGTATTACCAGTTGAGTCATCAGTTACTGTGATTGTGTCATCACCATCTTGGGATATGGTCATATCACCAACTGAAGCACCATCACCAGATGATGTATCAATGGGATTACCATTCAAATCAGTTACCCCTGTTGTTGTTGGTATATCAAGTGTGACAGTAACCTCGTCACCAGTAGGACCTGTTACAACATAAGTATCGTCATCAGTCTGTGTAACAGTCATAACACCAACTGTTGTTGTTTCACCAAGTGTAATGTCAACTACATTTCCATCACCATCAAGTACACCTGTTGATGTTATGGTTACTTCATTGCCAGAGCCATCTGAGATGACATTAGTGTTGCCATCATTCTGAGTGACAACCTCCATATCACCTACATTTGCCACTGTTTCTGGTGAGAGAGTTACATCATTACCATCTTCATCTGTAATGCCAGGTGGTGTTACAACAGTAACTGCAACTTCAGAAGAACCAGTAGATATAACATATGTGTCATCAAGAGGTCTAGTGATGTTCAGTTCTGAAGCTTCAATTCCATCTCCTTGGTTCAGATCCACTTGATTACCATCTACAACTAAGCCATTTTCATTAATTGAAACACTAGTGCCAGATGGACCTTCAAGCATAAATGAGGAATCTGAATCTTGGGTAACACTAATATCACCAACAGTTGTACTATCGCCAGTTGAGATATCAATGGGATTACCAGATTCATCTGTTAATCCAGTTGTTGTAGGTAGGGATACAGTGATTGTTACTTCATTGCCATTTCCATCTTGTACAACAACGGTGTCATCATCAATTTTGTTGACAGTTATATCACCGACAGTGATATTTGCTCCTGGTGTGAGATTTATTGAATTGCCATCTTGATCTGTAATTCCTGTTCCTGTAATTGTCAAATCAGTGTCCCCAGAAGATACTGTTGTGGTGTTTCCATCATTCTGATTGACAATGGTCATATCTCCAACAGTTGCAACTTCTTCTGGCGTTAGGTCAACTGCATCACCAGTTTCATCAGTGACACCTGGTGTAGATGTTGTAACCACTGTCACTGCAACCTGACTTCCAGAAGAGCCATCGGTTACAACCACTGTGTCATCATTTACATGACTGACGGTAATATCACCAATTGTTGTGCTGTTTCCAGTAGGAAGGTCAATAGAATTGCCATTTTCATCAGTCACACCAGATTCAGTTACTACAATAGTAGTGTCTGATGATCCATCAGTAACAGTAAATGACTCTCCATCTCCAGATTCTGTAATGGAGATATCACCAACTGTTGTAGTTCCACCAGACTCTAGATCAATTACATTTCCATCTGCATCTGTGACACCAGTGGATGTAGGTACATCAACAGTGACAATAACCTCATCACCTGTTAAATCATCAACAAGTGAGTAAGTGTCATCATCAAGTTTAGTAATTGTTACATTACCAATTGTTGTGCTATCACCTTCCTTCATATCAATAACATTACCTTCTCCATCAGTGACACCTGTTCCTCCAACATGAACTGTATCGTTTGTGTTTGAAGAACTACCACCAACAGTGTATGAGTTCCCATCATTTTGAGTCATGATATTGATATCTCCAACTGTTGAAACTGTTTCAGATGTTAAGTTTACAGAATTACCAGAACCATCTGTAACACCAGGTGTTGTTACTACAGTCACTGCAACTTCACTTCCAGTTGAGCCATCAGTTACAACATATGTGTCATCATACACATGCTCAATTGTAACATCACCTATTGTTGTATTTTCTCCCTTAGGAAGATCTATTACATTACCATCTGTATCGGTGACACCAGTTCCAGTGACTGTTATTGTATTGCCGGAGCCATCAGATACTGTAATCTCACTCTCTTCCTCATTTGATGTAATTTCCAGGTCACCAACTGTTGCACCACCATCTGAAGTGATATCAACATTATTGCCTTCATGGTCAGTGACACCAGTGGAAGTTGGCTTTGTAAGTGTTACAGTCACAGTGCTTCCAGTAGATCCATCAGTTACAGTATAAGTATCATCATCCACTTTTGTTATAGTTACATCACCAACTGTTGTATTTTCTCCTGGTGAAAGATCTATGACATTTCCATCCTCATCCGTGATACCAAGTATCGTAACTGTTACATTGGTTCCGGAAGTATCAGATACTGAGAATGTATTTCCACCATTCTGAGTTCCAATGCTAACATTGCCAAGTGTTGCAACATCTTCTTGTGTGAGAGTGATCTCGTTTCCATCAACATCAGTAATGCCTGGAGTTGAAACAACAGTTACTGCAACCTCACTTCCAGATGATCCATCAGATATGATGACTGTATCATCATTGATACGAGTTATTGTTACATCACCAATGGTAATGCTTTCATCAACTGGAATATCAATCACATTGCCATTGCCATCAACTATTCCTGAGTCTGTGATTGTTAAACTGGTACTGGATGATCCATCTGTAACTGTAATTGTGTCATCACTATCTTGAGAGATTGTCATATCACCTACAGTTGCACCATCCTCAGATGTTAGATCTATTGGATTTCCTGAAGTATCAGTTGCCCCAGTAGTATCAGGTATTGGGACAGTGACAGTCACCTCAGTTCCAGAGGATCCATCAGTTACTTGCCAAGAGTCACCATCAACATGAGTAATAGTCAAATCACCAATCGTTGTACTCTCTCCTGGTGAAACATTGACAGAATTTCCATCACTATCAGAAACACCAACTCCATTTATTGAAATGGTAGTATCAGATGATCCATCTGTTAATGTAAATGTGCCTTGATCATTATTCTCCTCAATGGTTATATCACCAACTATGGTAGGTTCACCTGATGTAGTATCAACTATGTTTCCATCTCCATCTGTGACTCCTGTTGTGACTGGTACTGTAACAGTAACTTCCTCTCCAGTTGAAGAATCGGTTACGGTAAATGTATCTTCATCCAATTGTGTTATGGTTACATCACCAACTGTTACACTCTCTCCTGGAGAAAGGTTTACAACATCTCCATTAACATCTGTAATGCCATTTCCAGTTATTGTAATGTTGCTACCAGAATCATCAGTTACAGTAAATGTGTCATCATCACCTTGAGATATTGTCATATCACCAATGGTTGCTCCTTCTCCTGATGTATCAATATCATTTCCATTTTCATCAGTTACACTGGGTGTTTCTGTTACTGGAACGGTAATTACTACCTCATCACCATCACCATTAGTAACAACATATGTATCACCATCAACCTGTTCGACAGTAACATCACCAATAGTTGTACTGTTGCCTGGTCCGATGTCTACAGCATTACCAGATCCATCAATGACACCAGTGCCATTAATTGTAACAGAATTGCCAGTTCCATCAGAAACAGAGATTGTATTTCCACTATCTGGGGAAGTAATATTCAAATTACCCACAGTTGTTCCACTTTCAGAGGTAAGATCTACTTCATTTCCAGATCCATCAGTAACTCCTGTTGTAGTTGGTACAGTTACTGTTACACCAGTGTCAGAAGATCCATCATGTATAATGAATGTATCTTCGTCAACTTGTGTGATGGTAATATCACCAGTTGTAATATTCTGTCCGGGGGAGAGATTAATAATGTTACCATTTGCATCTGTGATACCTGTTCCTGTCACTGAAATGGAGGTGTTTGATGAGTCATCAGTTATGGTGAATGTGCCATTGTTATCTTGATTGATAGTCAAATCACCAACATGAGCAGTTTCTTGAGAAACAACATCAATGGTATTGCCATCAGAATCTGTTAATCCTGTTGGTTCAACAACTGTGACAACAACTTCACTTCCACTTGATCCATCAGTTATGACATACGTATCATCATGGACATGGTGAATTGTCACATCTCCAATTGTTGTATTAGTTCCTGGTGTAAGATCAACTGGTTCTCCATCTGTGTCAGTGATGCCTGTTGTATCAACTGTAATGGTGCTTCCTGAGGAGCCATCTGTTACAACAATGCTACTACTGGTATTTTGTGAGACAGTCAGGTCACCAACAGTCTGTGATCCACCTTGGGTTAAATCAACTGAATTTCCATCACCATCAGTAACACCAGTGGTTGTAGGTATCTCAACAGTTACAGTGATTTCATTTCCAGAACTGTCAATAACAGTGTAAGTATCTTCATCATTTTGAATGATAGTTACATCTCCAATGGTGGTATTCTGTCCTGGCGCGAGGTTAATTAGATCACCATTGCCATCCGTGATACCAGTTCCTGTTATTGACACAGTTGTATCAGATGATACATCACCAATGGAATAAGAACCATCATCAGTATGAGTAATTGTCATGTCACCAACTGTTCCAGTTTCATGTGATGTAACTGGAATCTCATTTCCAAGGGAATCAGTAAGACCTGTACTTGGAATGATGGTCACAGCTACCTCATCTCCTGTATTATCATTTATGACCACATATGTATTAGCATGTACTCTATGAACTGATATATTTCCTTCAGTTCTTGTGCTTCCTTGAGGAACATCAAATGTTACATTATTGACAGTATCTATTAATCCAACTGCAGTGATTTTGATGGTAGTTTCATCGTCTGTTACAACGAATGTGCTACTATCAAGCTGTGTTATGCTAAGGTCACCAACAGTTACCATGTCTCCACCTGGCAATATTTCAACTGAGTCACCATTTCCATCTGTGACACCTGTTGATGTTGGTACTTCAATTGTAACAGTGACTTGATCACCAGTTGATGTATCGTGAATGACAAATGTATCATCATCCACTTGTTCTATGATGACATCACCAACTGTTACATTATTGCCTGGGGAAACACCATCAATTATGCTTCCATCATCATTAGTAATGCAAGTGTCTGTTACAGTTATAGTGTCTCCAGATGATCCACCAGTTATGGAGGTTGTACCATCGCTGTCTTGAGTGATTTTGATATTTCCAACTGCTCCACTAGTTTGGTTAGTTGTCTCAACTGGATTACCGTATTGGTCAGTTAACCCATCTTCTTGTACAACTGTAACAGTTACATCACTTCCAGTGGAATCATCAGTTACCACAATAGTGTCATCTGTGACCTTGTGAATAGTTACATCTCCAACTGTCATGCTGTCTCCTATTGCTAGGTCAACCTCATTACCATTGTTATCAACTATGCCAGTTGCATTCACAGTGATAGTTTGGTTGGAACTGTCAGTTACAGAGAATGAGTTGTCACCATCCTGGGTAATGGTCATATCACCAACTGTTTCAGATTCTCCAGTTGAAAGATCAAGGTCATTACCATTGCCATCAGAAACACCTGTTGTAGATGGCGTTTCCACATTTATAGCAACAGTGGTATTAGATGATTCATCATGTGCAGTATATGTGTCCTCATCCACCCGAGTAATGGTCACATCACCAACTGTTACATTAGATCCAGGAGCAATGTCAATGATGTTACCATCAGAGTCAGTGACACCTGTTCCAGTAACAGTAACTGTGGTAGATGAATTGTCACCAGTAGAGGATCCACCTATAGTGACAGACCCACTATTGTCTTGGGTAATAGTCATATTTCCAACTGTTCCTGTTGATTGTGATTCAGTCTCAACTGGATTTCCATATTGATCAGTCAAGCCGTCTTCTTGTACAACTGTAATAGCAACATCAGTACCTGTTGCTGAATCAGTAACAACAACTGTATCTTTGTGTGTTTGATGAATAGTCACATTGCCAAGTGTGACATTATCACCTGGTGAAAGGTCAATCTTGTTACCATCAGCATCAGTAATACCCGTTGTATTCACAGTAATTGTATCACCAGATCCGTCAGTTATTGTGAATGTGTCATCATCTTCTTGAGTGACAGTCAAATCACCAACTGATGTACCACCTTGTGTAAGGTCAACTGGCTTACCATCTTCATCAATTACTCCAGTTGAGGTTGGCACATCGACATTAACTGTAACATTAGATCCAGTAGATTCATCAACTAAAATAAATGTGTCTTCATCTACCTGAACTATTGTTATGTTGCCAGTGGTAACACTTTCACCAGGTGAAATGTCAATAACGTTACCATTACTGTCAGTCACAGCAGTACCAGTTACCTCAACCGTATTACCAGAGTTATCAGTTGCTGTATAGCTACCTGCATCACTTCCAGTTTGAGCAATTGTCATGTCTCCTACTGTTGTTGTTTCTTGTGATGTAGTTTCAATCTTATTTCCATCAGCATCAGTCAAAATGGTATCAGTCTGAGTGCCTGGTGGGACGCCAGACCAAGAATCAGTTCCATAAACCTCAGTTCCTGGTGGAAGGTCATCAGTACTACTTGTATTTCCAGAAAACTCATTATTGACGTTGCCATCACATGAACCAGCTAAACCAGCAGATGTTTCACATTCTGTTCTTGGCAATGTAGCACTAATATCTAACCCATCAAGATCATTTACACTGACAGTTATTTCATTTCCAGATGTGTCATCAATAATGAAGGAATCATCAGATGTCTGCGTAATTGTGGTCCCATCACTGAAAGTAATTGTTTGGCCGACTGTTGTTTCAACAGTTTCACCATCAGTATCAAAGACTACAGCATCTCCACCTTCTGTAAATGGTGAACGAATACTTACACCAGAGCTGATGTCCTCTCCATCTTCTGATGTTGTAGTTGTTGTAACAGCTATCTGTGTGACGCATGTTGCTCCTGCACCACATGGACCTTGACGTACATCTACAGATGTGTTTCCTGATTCAAAGAATGTAAATTCACCTCTTACAGGAAGTGTGTATGTCAATCCATCAGTAGTTGTGTATGTTGCCTCTCCAACAATTGTTGCCACAGCATGGGTATCATTATTACCAGTGTTTTCAGTAATTTGGATAGTGCAGTCATCGCCAGTCCAGCCTTCATCACACTTAGGTTCAGGAACAAATATGATCAATGAATCATTCATTATTCTCTCTTCTTCATATGTAAGGCCAGTATCTGGATCAGTGTATGTATACACAAATGTGCTATCATCTTCAGGGAGTACATTGTTTGATGCAACATCAACCAGACCTTCTTCAGATACCAAATCAAATGGAATGTATGTGTCATCTCCTGTTTGGAAGTTATTGTTCAGGTTACCATCACAATTTCCAAGCAAACCAGATGAGGTATCACAAGACTCCACTGGAGATGTAATTGCAACATCTAAAGATCCTTTATCGTTTGTTGTTACAACAACTGTATCACCATCTGGATTTGTAATAATATATCCAGTTTCACCATCATAATCAACCTGGTCAACAATGATACTCAAAGTGCTAACATCATCTACAACATTGCCATCTGAATCAAATACAATTGGATCAGATGTACCATTAAATGATGCATGAATAGTAACATTGCCATCGTCAGTTTCAATAAAGATTTGGTCAATCACAACACCATCATCAGATGATGATCCTGTTTCAGAGCCAGTTCCAGAACCAGTTCCAGATTCACCAGTAATTGTTCTTCCAGAGCCATCCTCTGGAACAGTCCTGATTCCAACTGTGAAGTTGCTTGAGTCAGAGGAAGTGACCGTGAACTCCCCAATAATATCAAGGTCATATTCAGTGCCATCATAATTGATGAATACAGATCCATCAGTAATTGTTGCTGTAGAATGTGTTCCATTAGTTGTTGTTGTTGTGGACACTGTTAGGCTACAATCAGCACCATACTTTCCTGTAGGACAATCCACAAACTCAGAGGGTTCAGTAAATGTAGTACCATCACTTGTTTCAAATGTGTAAATAAATCCACTGTCACCAGTATTGGGATCTGTATCAACAGTGCTACTATTAACTACTTCATTGAGGACATCAGCTGTGATTTGACTAACAGGAATAGCTTCGCCATCAACAACAAGATCATTGTTGACATTGTCATCACAGTTACCTGTTAACCCAGTCAATGCATCACAACTCTCCTTGGTAATGGCAGCTGTAACATCAAGATAGCCATTGTTCACATTAACAGTAAGTTGATTATCATATGAGTCGGTGATGGCTAGTACACCATCAGAGCCTTGTTCCACTGTGACATCACCCACAGTAATCACACCAGAAAGACCATTTGCTGTTGAACCATCTCCAGATGATATAATTGGTATTCCACTATCATCATCAGGTGATCTTATTGCAACATTTCCTTCAGATGTTTCAATCAGGATCTGATTAACACATGTTTCAGTAAGGTCACAAGGTACTGTTCTTATACTCACTGTCATATCCAAAACATCTAAGAATTCAAACTCACCATTTGTGCTAACAGCATATGTCAAACCATCAAATGTTGTAATGTCAGCATTGTCACCACTTATTGAGGTGACAGCATGTGTGTTGTTACCAACTGGTTCAGACACATCAATACAGCAGTCACTGAGGTAGAATCCACACACACATTGACTTTCAAATGTTGTGGGTTCAGTATACACCACTCCATGAGGTGAAGTATAGTTATGCACAAAAGTAGAGTCAGATTCATCAAGAGTGTTTGTATCAGCTACTTCTTGTAACATATCTTCATTTATCATATCAATGGAAATATCATTGCCATTTTCATCCTGGAAGTCATTGTTCAAGTTGCCATCACATGAACCAGCAAAGCTGCCAGTAGATGATGAACAGGCATCGTTTGAAACAGTAGCAGTTACTTGCAAAGTACTTGATCCATCAGTATCAACAGATGTATCAGTAGCCTCAGATGAACCACTTCCAGATCCACCCGAGCCACTTCCAGAACCAGAGGTTCCAGTATCCCCAGATTGTGGAGGAATAACATCTACTGTAATTTTGTCATCAGTACCATTAATGGTGATTACAAATGTATCATCATCAACCTGTGTGACGGATATGTCACCCACATTGACTGATTCTCCAGGAGCGATGTCTTGAGGATTGCCCTCATCATCAAATACAACTGGTCCACTGATATCATCATAGGGAGTATGTATAATCACACTACCATTTTCAGTTCCAATAGATGTCTGTGTAGTGCACACAATGTCACCACAAGGTACTTGTCGAATGTTCACATCAACTTCAGTTGTATTGATGAATACAAATTCACCTGGCTTGCTGATATCATATGTTACACCTTCAAAGTTAGTGAATGTACCATCAGTGTTAACTGTTGCAGTTGAGTTACTGTTTGTATTTTGAGTTGTATCTTCTAACACAACACTACAATCAGCACCAAAGTAACCAGCTGGACATTCAGAAACAAGAGTGCTTGGTTCCTTGTATGTTTCTCCATTCTCATCTGTGTATTCATACACAAAGATACTGCTGCCATTTCCACCATTAGTTCCAGTATTGTTTGCAAGGTTAGATGTTTCTGCCAAACCTGAAAGATCATCTGAAGTAATAGAAGATGGATCAACAAATTCACCATCACCATTAACAATTTCATTGTTGATATCACCATCACAGTTTCCGGACATACCACTGACATCACCGCTACATGATTCCTTTGTTGTTTCAATAATAACATCAAGGGCTCCGTCATCATTGACATTAACATTCGTTTGGCTGCCATCATTTGTGTTAGTAATCACATATTCATTGTCGCCTACCTTTGTGATTGTTGTACTGTTATCTAGTTGCACAGTCACAGGGACATATGGAACAATGATTTCTACAGTTACTTCATTTCCACTGGAATCACTTACAGTATAAGTTGTATTATCAACTTGTTGGATGGTCACTCCACCGACTGAAACTGATCCACCACTGGATAGATCGACTGGATTACCATTAATATCAAGAACACCAGAGTCTGTTATTTCAACTGGTTCCTTCTGGAGTTCCATCAGAGATGGTATATTTATCGTCAGTGTTAACGATAGCCAGATCACCAACTGTAGCAGTTTCCTGTGAGGTGAGATCAACTGAAGTTCCATTTGGATTAGTCAAACCAGCCTCTGGAATAACTGTGACGGCTATTTCAGTTCCTGATATATCATCTGTTACAACAAATGTATCATCAAGTACATGAGTTATTGTCACATTGCCTACTGTTGTATTTGATCCCTTTGGTATGTCAACTTTGTTGCCATCCTCATCAATAACACCAGTTCCTGTAACAGTGATTGTGCTTCCAGATGAACCATCAGTGATTGTCACACTATCTGGATCAGGTTGACTTACTGTCAAATCACCAACTGTTGCATCACCATCTGGTGAAACATCAATAGGATTTCCATCAATATCTGTAACACCGGTTGTGGTTGGCACATCAATAGTAACTGTTACCTCAGATCCATCTGCATTTGTAACTATATAGGTATCTTCATCCACCTGGGTAACTGTGACATCACCAATTGTGACATTTTGTCCTGGTGACAAGACAAATGTGTTGTCATTGCCATCAGTGATACCTGTTGGTCTTATAGTTACAATTGTATCAGAGCTTCCTCCAGTAACTGTATATGTTTGGCCATCATTTCCAGTTGCAATGGTCATATTTCCAATAGTTGAAACTTGTTCTGGAGTGAGTTCAACTGTGTTGCCACTTCCATCAGTAATACTAGGAGTGGATGGTGTAATAACAGTGACTGCAACTTCTTCTCCAGTAAGTGAATCAGTAATGACAATGGTGTCATTATTCACTTGTCTAACAGTAAGATCACCAACTTCTGTACCATCAGGTGATGACAGATCAACATCGTTACCATAACCATCAGTCACACTTGTTCCATCAAATGTGACAGCATCTCCAGATGACTCATGTGTTACTGTAAAAGTATCTGTTGTGTCATCTGCATCTTCAGTTACAGTTAGATATCCAACACCATCACCATCCCCACCAGGTGTTACATCAAGTGGATTACCATTTCCATCAGTGACACCTGTTGTAGTGGGTTGACTTACTGAAACTGTAATATTATCACCATCTTCACCAGTTACAATGTAAGTATCCTCATCAACACGAGTGACAGTAACATTACCAATTGTTGTAGAGTCACCAGGTGAAACAATAACAGTATTGCCCTGATCATCCTTTACACCAGTTCCTGTAACTGTAATAGAACTATTAGATGTACTGTCTGTAACAGACACCTTGTCACCACCATTCTGAGAAACAATACTCATATTACCTACATTTGCCACATCTTCCTGTGTAAGCTCAACAGTATTACCATCCCCATCAGTGACTCCAGGTTCAGAGTCGGAGTTGAAACAGTGACAACAACAGTATTTCCAGATGCATCAGTGATAACAACAGTGTCATCATGCACTTGATGAATTGTTAAATCACCAATTGTTGTATTTTCTCCTGGGGAAAGGTCTACACTGTTGCCGTCCCCATCAATTACACCAGTTTCAGTTATTGTTACAGTTTCTCCAGATGAACTATCTGTTACTTCAATAGAGCTATTATCACTATCTTGTGAAACAATCATATCGCCAACTGTTGAAGTGCCATCAGGTGAAGTTTCAACAGCATTACCATCTAGATCTGTGACTCCAGTTGTTGATGGGACTTCAGTTGTAACTATGACTTCACTTCCAGATGATCCATCATTTATGGTATAAGTATTATCATCAGTTCTTGTAATGGTCACATCTCCAACTGTTACATTTTCACCTATTGGTATATCAACTATGTCACCATTGCCATCAGTGACACCAGTTCCACCAACATTGATTGTGCTGTCAGATGATCCATCAGTTACTGACCATGTAGTTCCATTGTTTTCTTGTGTGATGGTCATATCACCCACAGTTGCAACTGTTTCAGTTGTTAAGGTAACATTGTTTCCATCATCATCAGTGATACCAGGTGGAGTCACAACAGTAACTACAACTTCGCTTCCAGATGATCCATCAGATACAACAACTGTGTCATCTTGTACTTGTGTTACAGTTATATCACCAATTGTTGTATTCTCTCCTTCTTTGAGAATGATTGTATTACCATCTTCATCAACAATGCCAGTTCCAGTAACATTCAAAGTAGTTCCTGATGATCCATCTGTCACAGAGATAATGTTAGTTTGACTATCTTGAGATATTGTCATGTCACCAATGGTTGTGCCATTTCCATCTCCTGATGTAATATCAAGAGGATTTCCTTCATTATCAGTTGCACCAGTTGATGTTGGTTCAGTAAGAGTAACTGTAACCTCATTTCCTGTAGTGTCATCAGTAACCTCAAAAGTGTCTTCATCTACCTTGGTGATAGTCAAATTACCAACAGTAATGTTTTCACCAGATGAGAGATCAATGTTTTCACCATTGTTATCAGTTATACCAGCTACAGTGACTTTAATCGTTCCATTGGATGAACCATCAGATATATTGAAAGCTGTACCACCTGTCTGAGTGCTAATGGTTACATTGCCAACAGATGAAACATCCTCCAGGTGTAAGGTCAACAGGATTTCCTTCACTATCAGTAACTCCTGTGTTGGGTGGTGTAACTGTGACAGCAACTTCACTTCCAGTTGATTCATCAGTCAGGATAATTGTATCATCATGTACACGAGTAACAGTTACATCACCAATAGTAGTGTTTTCTCCAGTTGGTATATCAATGATATCACCATTGTTATCAATAACTCCAGAGTCATTCACAGTAAATGATGTTCCATCTGAACCAGTTACTGAGAATGAATTATCAGTTTCTTGGCCAACTGTCATATCTCCAACAGAAACAGGATCTTCAGATGACATATCAATGTCATTGCCTTCTAAATCAGTAAGTCCAGTTGTATTGGGTACCTCAACAGTAATAGTTACTCTAGTTCCTGTTGATTCACTGGTGATAACATAGGTGTCATCATCAACACGCTCAACAAGTATATCACCAAGTAGTACACTTTCACCTGGTGACAAATGAACTACATTACCATCACTGTCAATTACACCAATGCTATTCACTACAATATCTGTAGAAGAGTCTCCTCCAGTGACAGTAAAGGATGTCTTATTTTGGCTAACAGATATGTCACCAATTTGCACCACATCACCCTCTGATGGTAGGTCAATGTTAGTTCCATTTTCATCTGTAAGACCAGATGATGTAGGCACAGTAACAGTGATTTCACCACCAGATGATGTTTCTGTCAAATGGAAGGTATCTTTATCAAGTTGTGTAATAGTGACATTGCCAACAGTTGTGTTTCCACCTGTTGATACAGTTACTATGTTACCATTTCCATCTACAATACCATTGCCAGTTACAGATATAGTATTACCAGATGAGCCATCAGGTCACAGAAACTGTGTCATCATTGTCTTGTGACACAGTCAGATCACCAACAGTTATATTTTCCCCTGATGTAAGATCAATCTCATTACCATCCTGGTCAGTTACACTTGGTGTGTCAGGTGTTGGAACTGTGACTGTTACTTCATCTTCTGAAGTATTGCTACTTATAACAAATGTATCACCATCAACACGAGTAACTGTCACATCGTCAATGGTTGTGCTGTCACCTGCTGGGACATCAATCACATTGCCATCTCCATCAGTAACACCAGTAGCATTAACAGTTACCGTGGTATCTGAAGATCCAACAGTAACTGAGAATGATGTTCCATCTTGATCTTCTTGTGAAATGGTGAGATCACCAACTGTCACACCCTCCTCTGATGTTGCATCTAACTCATTGCCAGATGCATCTGTGACACCAGTTGTAATAGGCACTGTAACAGTTATTGTTTCATTTGTTGAAGCATCATACACAGTAAATGAATCTTCATCCACTTGAGTGATTGTTACATCTCCAACAGTAATGTTCTGTCCTGGTGACAGGTTAATGATGTTACCATCACTATCTGTTACACCTGTTCCCGTGACTGTCACAGAAGCTCCAGAAGAACTATCTGTCACTTCAATAGAACCAGTAGTGCTGTCTTGAGTGATGGTCATATCACCAACTGTTCCAGTCTCTTGTGATGTGGTTTCAACAGTATTGCCATCTTGATCAGTAACACCAGTTTCCTCTACAACAGTAACAGCAATCTCATCTCCTGAAGTTCCATCAGTAATAACTAATGTATCATCATGGACACGGTTAATTGTGACATCACCAATTGTTTTGTTTTCACCAGTTGTGATGTCAATTTCATTACCATCTCCATCAGTGACACTCGTTCCATCAATTACCACTGTTGTGTTAGAAGATTCATCATGGATAGTAAAGGTATTCTTACCATCTTGAGAGACACTCATATCACCTACTGTTGTATTAGTTCCTGGTGTCAAGTCAATTTGGTTTCCATCTCCATCTAAGACACCAGTTGTAGTTGGTACTTCAACAGTAACAGTTACTGAGGTTCCATTGGCATCAGTGATCACATATGTATCATCAGAAGGATGATTGACTGTGATATCCCCAACTGTTGTTTCTTCTCCAATAGGAAGACCGATCAATGTTCCATTGCCATCAGTGACACCTGTTGGTGTTATTATCACAGTGTCATCAGAAGAATCACCAGTTACTGTATAAGATCCACTGTCGTCATCATGAGATACTTCCATATCCCCAATGGCTCCAGTTTCTATTGTACTTCTTCAATTGGATTTCCATTTTCATCAGTCAATCCTTCTTCTGGATATAACAGTACAGCAACTTCATCACCAGATGTAGTTTCAACTATGTATGTATCATCGTGCACCTTTGTGACTGTTACATTTCCAATTGTTGTATTAGCTCCAGGTGAGAGATCAACAGCATTACCTTCATCATCAGTCACACCATTGGGACCAACAGTTATTGAGGTACCAGAGTCATCTGTAACTGTAAATGAGTTATCGTTATCTTGGTTTATGGTCAAATCTCCGACTGTTGTATTTGTGCCAGGTGTTAAATCAATGGGATTACCATCTCCATCTGTTGTGCCAGTGGTTGTTGGTATTTCAACTGTAACAGTAACCTTGTCTCCAGTAGTTTCATCAACAATCTCATAAGTATCTTCATCAACTTGTGTGACGGTAATATTTCCAATTGTTGCATTTGATCCTGGGGATAGGCCACCAACCAAATTTCCTTCACCATCAGTCACACCAGTTGGAGTCACTGTTACAGAGTCACCAGATGAACCACCAGTTACTGTGTAAGTAGTGCTTCCATTGCTTGATGTTCCATTGGATGTAGTTATGGCTATATTACCAACTGAGCCAGTTTCTTGGGATTCAAACTCTACAGGATTGCCATTAGCATCCGTTACTTCTGTAGTTGTTCCAGTTATAACTGTAACAGCTACTTCACTACCAGATGATCCATCAGTTACAACATAGGTGTCATCATGGACTCGGTGAATTGTTAAGTCACCACTTTCAGCATTTCCTCCAGTAGAAACATCAATGGTATTTCCATTTCCATCAGTAACCCCACTTTCATCAATTGTTACACTGGAACCAGATTCATCTGTAACAGTGAAACTATTCTCAGTGTCTTGAGAGACTGTCAGGTCACCAACTGATGTAGATTCTCCTGGAGAAACATCAACTGGGTTGTCATTTTCATCCAAAACACCATTCTCTGTAGGTACAACAACAGTAACTGTTACATTAGTTCCTGATTCATCTGTAACCACGAATGTATCTTCATCAATCTTGGTAATAGTAACATCTCCAACAGTAGTATCAGCCCCTGTTGTGATATCAATGATGTCGCCATCACCATTAGTGACACCAGTTCCTGTTATAACAACAGTACTGTTTGATGATCCACCATTTACTTCAACAGAGCTGCCATTGTTAGTTTGTGTAACTTCCATGTCACCAACTGTTCCACTTTCTTGAGATTCCACTTCAATTTCATTGCCATATTGATCAGTGACACCTGCATCAGGCACAACTGTGACAACAACCTCATTGCCAGATGAGTCAGTTACCACAATTGTATCATCATGGACATGACTTATGGTGACATCACCAATGGAAGTGCTATTTCCTGTTGGTAAATCAACATGGTTGCCATCTCCATCTGTAACACCTGTTGCATTAATTGTAATGGTGTCTCCACTTGAGTCAGTGAGTGTAAATGTGTCATCATCATCTTGGGTAACAGTAAGGTCACCAACTGTTGCACCTTCCTCAGATGTGACATCAAGTGGATTGCCATCTTCATCTGTAACACCAGTTGTGGAAGGTGATGTAACAGTAACAGTAACCTGTTCTCCTGATGATCCATCTGTGACTTCATATGTGTCATCGTCAATCTTTGAAATGGTAACATCACCAACTGTAACACTATTTCCTGATGTCAGGTCAATTCTATCACCATTTGAATCAATGAGACCTGTTCCTCCAATAGTTACAGAACTGCCATCTCCACTTGTGATAGTATAGGTATTACCATCATTAGATGTACTAATGTCCATATCACCGACTGATGCAATATCTTCTTCTTGAAGATCAACAGTATTTCCATCAGCATCAGAAAGGACATTTTCTGTAACTACTTCAGGTGGAGTAACTGTCACAGTAACACTTGTGTTGTCAGCATTATTAGAAATCACAAAGGTATTATCTTCTTCATGTGAAACAGTGACATCTCCGACTGTTACATTAGATCCAGGTGGAATATCAACCACATCACCATTTTCGTCTGTCACAACAGTTCCAGAGCCACCATCTTCAGTAGGAGATCCTCCTGATATTGTGACTCCTTTACCAGATGATTCGTCTTGTATTACAAGTGTGCCATTATCTGGTTGAGACAGTGTCACATCTTCAAATATAGTTGCATTTTGTTCAGTTGACACATCAACTGAATTTCCATCACTGTCAGTAAGATTGACACTTGCTGTATTCTCTGGTGTGAAGTCAAGTGGTTTGCCATCATCTCCAAATACAACAGCATCAGAACCATTTGTATACGGTGCATGAATGACAATGCCAGAGTTATTCCCTGATACTGATACTTGTGACACACAGGCTTCTTGACCACATGGAGTCATCCTTACAAATACATCAGAATCTGAACTATTATAGAAGGTATATTCTCCTCTGGAGTCTAAGTCATACTGAACACCATCATATGTGGTGAATGTTCCATTAACAATAGATGCAGATGCATGTGTATCATTTGATTTGGGTTCAACAACAGACACACAGCAGTTATCAGCATAGTAACCACATGTACATGTTCCAGTGAACTCCTTTGGCTCATCATATACAACTCCAGTTACAGTTTCATAAGAATAAATAAATGTGGATTCATCATCAGAATCAGTTGTACAAGTTGAACATGAGTCAATGTCACCTTGAGAGCCAACATCATTAAATGGGTTTCCATCACATGAGCCTGCAATATCACCAGATTCTGATCCACAGTTTGTCTTTGTTGTTACAACAGTGATCTGTAGATTGCCATTGTCATCTCCAGTAACAGTAATGTCTGTTCCATCAGATGTAGTGATGTGGTATTCATTGTCTCCATTTTCATTTTGGCTTACTGTGAGTGTTGCATCAGAGTTGATAACAGTAGTGGTATCTGTTGTTGTAGTAGTATCACTTGTTGCATCAATAGGATTACCATTAGAATCAAACACAACAATATCACCATTGGCTGAGTAAGGAGCATGTATAACAATGTCACTTCCACTGTCAGAGTCTGCACTACTTCCAGCAGACACAGCAATTTGGTTGACACATGTAGAATCACCACAAGGTACAACCTTAATTCCTACATCCGTTGTATCAGTGTCAACTATGTTGTATTCCCCTGGTGAACTCAGATTATATTTTGAACCATCATAGTTTGTGAATTCACAATCTCCAATTGTACTTGTAACAGCATGTGTGGAGTTGCCAGCAAATGCATCTGCATCTGGGTCATAATAATCAGAGATCTTATTGACTGTTGCTGATTCGATCACATTATCTTCAGTGACTTGATCAATTGGAATGTTGTTGCCATTGGTATCTTGGAACTCATTGTCCAAATCTCCATCACAAGAGCCTGTTAGAGTACTTGTACTAGAATTACACTGATCATTAGGTACAGTGACTTCAATCTGGAGACTTGATCCACCAGATCCTGTTCCAGTTCCAGATCCAGTTCCAGTATCAGATCCAGTTCCTGTATCAGTTCCAGATCCAGTTCCTGTATCAGATCCAGTTCCTGTTCCAGATCCAGTTCCTGAATCTGATCCTGATCCAGTACCTGATTCTGTTCCAGATCCAGTACCTGATTCTGTTCCAGATCCAGTTCCAGATGTTGGTGGAATAACAGTCACTTTTACCACACTGCCTGTTGTATTATCAACAATTGTGTAGGTATTTTCATCCTCACGGGTAATTGTAACATTGCCAACAGTTTCTGTCTCCCCAGCATCAAGGTCGATTTCATTGCCCTTGTCATCAGTAATGACTGCAGGGGGAGTTTGAGGTACTATAACAGTTATTTCCTCTCCAGACTCATCTGTAATAACCAGAGTATTATTATCCCCTTGAGTAATTGTCAGATCACCAATGGTTGTGGTACCATCTGGGGACAGATCAATAGGATTACCATTGCTATCTGTGATTCCAGTATCAGTGACTAAAATTGAGGTATCTGTACCAGTTATAGTATAACCATTACCATCTGAGTCTTGAGAGACTGTCATGTCACCAACAGTTGTATCTTCCCCAGCAGATGTATCGATGATATTGCCATCATTATCTCTGATTACAGTTTCTGCAGGAACAGTTACGGTAACCTCAGATGAACCAGATGATATAACAAAGGTATCATCATCTGTCTGTCCAACTGTAATATTACCCTACAGTTTTGGTCTGTCCAGGTGAAACGTCAACTTCATTACCATTGCCATCTTCAGCACCAGTTCCAGTGATTGTAACAGAATTACCCAAATCATCAGTTACTGTGTATGAGTTATCAGCATCTTGTGAGACAGTCAAATCACCAACTGTCTTTGTGTCACCTGTTGTCAAATCTACTTCATTTCCATCACTGTCAACAACTTCAGAACTACCAGATCCTGAATCACCAGTATTAATAGTTATTCCACCATCACCAGTGTTAATTGTTGTTCCTGTTGTACATACTTCATCACCACAAGGTGTTTGCCAAACATTAACATCCAAATCTGTAGTGTTCACAAGTGCAAACTCTCCAGGGGTACTTGTATTGTAGGTAACACCATCAAATGTAGTGACTGATCCATCTGGGTTCACTCCAGCTGTTGAATTATCTCCAGTATTGGTAGTAGTATCTGCCAATGCAATGCTACAATCAGCACCATAGAATCCTACAGGACAGCTAGGTGCAAGGGTTTCTGGTTCACTGTATGTTGTGCCATTTTCATCTGTGTACTCATATACAAAATTAGTGTTGCTACCTGATCCACTTCCAGAACCAGAAGATCCACTTCCAGATCCAGAAGATCCACTTCCAGATCCAGATGTTTCATCACTAGATCCAGATGAACCCTCATTGTTTGCATTAAACATGTTAGTAAGATCATCTGAAGTTATTGTTGTTGGATCAACATAGTCTCCATCACCAGTTGGGATTTCATTATTAATGTCACCATCACATGATCCAGACATTCCTGTTACATCAGATGAACATGAGTCTTTCGGTGATTCAATTGTAACATCCAAGTTACCATCTCCATTGACATTAACGGTTGTTTCAGTTCCATCATCTTCATTTACAATAACAAACTCATTGTCATCTGTTTGTTTAATGGTTGTGCTGGAGCTAATAGATACGGTTTCATTTGTCTCAAGATCAAGAGTTGTACCATTGTAGAAAACAACTGCTTCAGACCCATTTGTATATGGAGCATGAATAACAATATCAGAATCAGTTGTTCCTACCTGAATCTGTGTCACACACGCTTCCTGTCCACAAGGTGTCATTCTGATGTAAACACTTGAGTTTGTGCTGTTGTAGAACTGATACTCTCCACGGACGTCGATATCATACTGCACTCCATCATAAGTGGTGAAAGTACCATTTACAATAGATGTTTGGGCATGGGTATCATTAGTGGTAGTGTCAACAATATTCACACAGCAAGGATCAGCATAGAATCCACAAATACATGATTCAGTGAACTCTTTGGGCTCTTCATATACATCACCATTTGGTGTTTCATAAGTGTATACAAAATTGCTTTCCGCATTTGGATCAATATATGTTGTTTGCACAGCACCATCTATCTGCTCATCTGAAGCAAGACTATATGGTACTATTACACCTTCTGAATTGACAAGATCATTGTTCAGATTACCATCACAACTGCCAACAAGTGTTCCAGTTGATGTTGCACAAGCAGCATTAGGAGTTACAACTGTGATGTCTAGATGTCTATTACCACCTAATTTCACTACAACTGTTTGATCTCCAGAATCCACAATATGGTATTCATCTGTTGAAACACGAGTTATGTTCATATTAGAACCAACAACAGTTTCACCTGAAATGCCTACTTGATTGCCATCTGCATCAAACACAATTATGCCACCAGCTGGTGAATATGGAGCATGTAACACAATGTCACTGAACTCTTCTTCAAACCAAACTTGATTGGCACAAACAGAATCACCACAAGGCACAGTTCTGATATTCACATCAACAATGTCAGACTCAACAAGTGAGTATTCACCACCACTGGAGATGTCAAATGTCGCACCATCATAGTTTGTCATCTTGGCACCATCTGATAGATGAGCAACAGAATGTGTAGCAGTTGCTCCTGTATCTGAAACTGTCTGTCGAGTGCAGTCTGCTCCAGTGAAACCATCAGGGCATTCTTCTGGGAATTCTTCAGGTTCCTCTATAATTGTACCATCAGCAGCCTCATAAACATAAACAAAACCAGTTGTATCTGTATCATTAGGTGTGAGATTGTCAATAACAGAGTCAATACCATCAGAGGTTATTACCTCTACAGGCACATAACTGTTGTTACCAGTCTGGAAATCATTGTTGAGGTTGCCATCACATTGACCTAGTAGACCAATGTTTGTGCCAAGGCAGGTTGATGTTTCAACTGTTGCAACAATATCCATCTGTCCATCATTGTTTTCAAAAGTAATCTGAGTTCCTGATGAATCTGTCATGATGTATTCACTCTTGGTAACCATTTTGATGAAAATGGGGTTCTCTAGGGTACCTATATCAATGATGTCACCAACACCCATGTCAAGTGTGGTACCAGTTGTTGGTGTTGATGCACTAGTTGTGCCAGTGATGTCAACATCAGCAATAAGCAAGTTGCTGTTATCCCCATAAGGAATATATATAGCAACATCTTCAGTTTCTGTATCCAACCATGCTTGTGTAACACAAGCATTGCCATCACCACAGGGTACAGTTCTAACATAAACAGTAACAGTGTCTGTATTCACAAACATCAGTTCTGTTTTGGTGGATATGTTAAACTGAACACCTTCAAAATTGGTAAATGTGCCATTCTTAATTGATCCTGTTCCATGTGTATCATTGGTTCCACTTGGTCCCATTGCTACACTACAATCTGCACCAATAAAACCTTCAGGACAGCTGTCAGCAATTGTTCTTGGTTCCTCATAAACAGTGCCATTGTTTTCATATGTGTAGATGAATTGTGAGTCATCTTCTGGCGTTAGCTTGTGATCATCTATAACATCATCAATGATATCACTTGTGATTTCATCCAAAGGTATATAGTTCTCTTCTCCTGTTGTTGGATCAGTAGTTGATAACTCATTGTCAAGGTCACCATCACAAGAGCCAGCCATTCCCATGCTACCATAAGCACATGTTTCTGTGTCAACAATTACTTCAACAGTGAGAGATTCTGAATTTGGATCTACTGTTACTTCAATAACATCACCAGATGTAGTGTTAATAATGAATGTAGTGTTATCTACAACCATAACAGAGCCATCATCAGGTAGACCAGGATAAGCTGTGTCATCTCCCGGGACTGTATGCTCAATTATAGGATCACTTGTGTTGTCCACAGGAGCTTTTATAACAATATCTGAATCACCAGTAGATACCCACACTTGGTTAACAACACTATCGCCATTATCTGCAGGTGTTTGTCTGACAGTTACACTTGTGTTTGTAGTATTAACAAAAGTGAACTCTCCATTTACACTTACATGATATGTGACACCATCATAGGTTGTGTATGATCCATCACCATTGATCGTAGCTGTAGATGTGCCATTAACAGAGGTGACAGGTACTATTGGTACTTCTAGGGAGCAGTCAATTCCAGCTGTACCCAGAGGACACATTTTTATTGTCTCTTCTGGGACAGTGACCTTTATGTCAAACTGGTTACAACTTGAACCCTTCCAGCCTTCAGCACATTCTACACAATTGCTTTCATCACTAAATTTAGGCTCACATTTACAGGTACCATCTGTCATGTTACATGTTCCCAGTCCATTACATATGTTATCAATGCCTCCAGGGCATTCACTACCACAGTCCTCTCCCCAGAAACCTGAGAAACAAATGCAATTGTCTTCACTGTCTACTTCACCAAAGCGACAGTTCATCTTTTCAGTACACATCGCATCATTAGTCAGTAGTGTATTATTGGCACACAATGTTTCTTGATCAAGCTCTTCTGGTTCAGAAGTTTCCTGACAGTATGCTGTGAAACTAGCAACAGAGAATACAATATTTGATGAATCTCCTGTGTAATACAAGTCCTCAAGACAAGAGACATAGTATGATTGAGCAGTTGCAGCACCAAGTTCTCCACATACTTCTGTCAATGTACTATTCAGTACAATATTCCTGCACAATGCTACAGCATCTTCACCAATAGCCTCAGCAATATCTAAATCAGTCAGTGCCTTAGTGTTGGTTGTTGTTTCTTGCTCAGCATCTGATAGTTGCCATTTTGGTCCGTCATATGTTGGAATAATGAATAACTCACCAGCAACTGTATCAGTAATTGTGTCTCCATATCCTTCATCAAATCCAAAGGATCCAACAAGGTTGGGGTATCCAGTGTCAATATCTGCATCAAAGTTCTGAAGAACTGTGTACACATCAAGTGTGGTATCCCATACTCTCAGTTCATCAATTCTTCCTATGAAGGTTGGAGGTGGAACATCATCACTTGATTGACCCTCTTGGGCTACCAAGCCTCCAAGGGACATGATTCCACCAGTGTCAAAATGACCAGTTCCAATATCAAGCCTTTCAACATTGATATTTTTGGCTTCATCAAGAACATAGACAATAAGAAGACCAGTGTCACGCTCGTACCCAAGAGTTATATGTTCCCAGGCATCAGGTGTAGGTTCATAATTAGTGTCATGTAACACACCATCAACTAGAATCTGAACTGTTGAATTGTATATCACTTCAAATGTATTGTCTGTGGTATAAGCAACCATTGTGCCAGCTGCATCATTTGCATCACCTGCCTTAAACTTGAACTCAATTGTAATATCTGAAGATTCATCAACAATTGTTGTCAAAGGATTTGATTCCACTCTTGTGTTGTTGAATACCAAACAATGTCCAGCTCCCTGATAATCCCTTGGTTCCTCATAATAAGTTCCCTCGGGACTGTCATAAGAATACACAAAGCCTGTTTCCTCTTCAGCAGGTATGGAGTGATATGCAGCTACATCACCAAGTCCAATATAGCTGATGTCATCAAAGCTTATAGTTGTGTCGTCAGCTGTTTTAAAGTCATTATCCATGTTGCCGTCACATGTTCCTAATACACCATTCATGGATGTTCCACATTGGCTTGTGTCAACAGTAATTTGCAAATCTAAGAACCGACCTCTGTTTCTGATAAGAATTTCAGTATCAGAAGAATCAGCAACAGAAAACATGGTTGGAGTAACTTGTTCCACCCATACATCTGAACCAAGGTCCTTTCTTACACCAATATTAATAGAGCTACCATCCTCATCAAATAAGACAGGTTCAAGTCCTTCTTCAAATGGAGCTCTAACAGTAAGGTCATCTCCATCTAAAGTTTTCACCCAGACCTGGTTTACACATGAATTTTCATCAGTTCCACATGGGACTTGCCTCACAAAAATATGGAGATGCTCAGTCTCAAACAGCTTAAATTCACCTCTTGTATCCATTGTGAATGATGCACCATCAAACGTTGTGTAATGAGCATAACTATAAACAGATGCAATAGCAGATGAATTCTTACCAGTAACTTGAGATTTAGCAACACTGCAATCTGCTCCATACCAGCCTTCATTACAGCTTGTTCCATTACTAGATGTATCGTATGATATTGGCACAATACATAAACCAGTAGTTGTGTTACATTTACCAGCTCCACAGGGACCATTGTCATCTGAGTAGCAAAGTTTGTCACATTCTTCACCCCAGTATCCATCAGTACAAGTACAGACTCCATCAATGAATTCACCACTTACACAGCGGACACTGCAATCGTCTCCACCCCATCCAAGGAGGCTTCCAAATGTGCTACATAGTGATTGTGCTGGGTCAGTGAAGACAAGCTCTTCAGTAGTATTTTCTGGAATGGGTGTTGTTGTAACAACAATGGAAACAACATCATCAACAAATCCATCACTGTCAGTCTCACTATCACTCTCAATGTTAGTGCCATTCATGATACTTTCAGTTGATATTCTCACTAAGAACACCAGATGTTATATCAGCAACAGAGACTGGTTCTCCATCAATAACAACATCATTGTCAATGTCACCATCACAACTTCCAGTTAGACCAGTCATATCTGCACAATTAGTTTTGTCAACAGAGACAGAGATGTCCAAACCACCATTTTCACTAACCCTAATAGTTATTTCTGTGTCATCAGAATCAGTAATGATCAGGTCTCCATCTTCATTTTGTTCCATTGTGGTATTGCCAACTGTGTTTGAAGTCAGTGTGTCTACAGATGATGTTGTTTCACCACCAGATGAAACTACAACATCACCTTCTCCGATGAGATTCCCTTCTTCATCAACAGGTGCAACTACCACAATGTTACCATCACCAGTTTGTACCAATACTTGTGTAACACATGTACCAGTTGAACAGGTTTCTGTCTTAACACTGACATTCATATCACTAACATCAACAAAGTCAAATTCACCACCATCTCCTAGTGAGAAGGACAATCCATCAAATGTAGTTAGCGTGCTGTTCTCACCATTAATAGATGTTGTAGAAAGTGAACCATCATCTGATGGTGTTGTAACACTTATACAACAACTATCTAGGTAAAAGTCACATACACACTTGCTCTCAAATGTCTGAGGTTCTGTATAAACCTCACCATCAGAGTCAGTGTATGTATACACAAAGTTGGATTCATTGGCATTAACAGAATTATGGTCTGCAACAACATTCAATGTATCTTCATCGATCATACCAACAGGGACATCATTATCATTGACATCTTGGAATTCATTGTTGACATTTCCATCACAAGAACCAGACAATGAGTTTGTTAGTGACTTGCAGCCATCATTTTCAACTGTTACATTTACTTTCAGGGTATGTGTTCCTCCAGTATTAACTCCAGGTTCACCAGTGGTCTCATCTATGGAACCATCTTGAGGAGGAATAATTGTAATAGTGACTTCATTACCAGTTTGATCTTTAACAACAAAGGTTTCACTATTAAGCTGAGAAACTGCAATATCACCTACATATACACTGTACCCTGGAGCAATGTTTACAGAATCACCATCTTGATCAAATATTACAGGATCACTTGTATTAACATATGGAACATGGACCACAACAGCACCCTTGTCTGTTTCTACACTTACTTGTGTTACACACACTGTATCTCCACATGGCACCAGCTTCACACTTACAACACCATCTGAAGTATTGGCAAATGTGAACTCACCAGTTATAGTGACATCATATGTTACATCATCAAATGTAGTAATTGTGCCATCTTCATTAACTGTAGCGACTCCATGTGTTTCTGAGTTTGTGCTCTCATCTTCCAAGACAAGACTACAATCAGCACCAAAGAAGCCAGGTGGACAGCTAGACAATATGGTTTCTGGTTCAGTATATGTTGTACCAGAATCATCTGTATAGTTGTACACAAAGTTCGTGTTATCAGTGCCTGAAGATCCACCGTCTGGTGATTCACTGTCAGAAGATCCTCCTACATTGAATGCATCAGCCACATTGGTAATATCTTCAGATGATGCTGAGGTTGGGTCAATATAATCCCCATTTCCAGTTGTTAATTCATTGTTCAGGTTGTCATCACAAGATCCAGCCAACCCACTCACATCATTGGAGCATGAATTAATGAGTGATGTAACAACAACATTAAGAGTTCCCTCAGAGTTGACAGTGATGGTTGTTTCAGTGTTATCACCTGCATTTGTAACAACAAACTCATTATCATCTGATTTGGTGATGGATGTGTTCTCATCAAGTGTTGTTGTGATGGCATTTGTGAAGTCAATTTCTTGACCATCATCACCAAAAACAACAGCGTCAGAAGTATTTGTGTAAGGAGCATGAACAACAACAGATGCAGTCTCGGTCGATACTTGTACTTGTGTAAGGCAAACATCTTGGAGTCCACATGGTGTCATTCTTATGTAGACATCAGTCTCAGAGCTGTTATAGAATTCAAATTCACCTCTTGTGTCTAGTTCATATTGAACACCATCAAATGTTGTAAATGTACCATCAACAATAGATGATTCAGATTCAGTATCTGTTGTTTGACTTGGGACAACTGTGACACAACAGTCTTCAATGTAGTACCCACATGTGCAAGTACCAGTGAATTCCTTTGGCTCTTCATACACAACTCCAGTTGATGTGGTATATGTGTACACAAAGTTGGATTCCTCCGTTGAGTCAATGAAACAGCCATTGCAATTGTCAGTACCACTGCTCCCAGTGATCTTACTGGAATCCTTGACATCATTATACTGATTACCATCACAGGATCCAGCTAAATCAACAGCACTTGATGCACAGTTTGATTTCAGAGAAATAATTGCTACATCTATGTAACCATTGTTACCTGCACTAACAACTATATCATTGCCATTTGGACTAACAATATGATAACCATTTGTGTCATCAACATCCACAGGTATGTTATCAAGTACAGTTGTATCTGTTACTGTGATCAAGTTGAGATCTGAGTCAAACACAATGATATCATCCATAGTGCTCTGGTATGGTGTATGGAAAGTAAGGCTGTCAGAGTCTGTGCTTACTGATACTTGGTTGATGCAAGTTGAATTGCCACATGGTACAACCTTGATAGTTATATCAACATCACTGTCAGATAATACATATTCACCTGGAACTAATGTGTATGATTCACCATCATAGTTTGTCATTTGACCCTCAGCAGTCACAGTAGCAATAGAATGAGTTTCATTTCCAATGAATGTTTCAGCTTCTGGAGAATAGTATTGATCTACCTTGTTAGTTGCAGCAGATTCTTTGATATTTTCCTCTGTAACAAGATCAATAGGAATGTCATTGCCATTGCTATCTTGGAACTCATTGTCAAGATTACCGTCACATGTTCCAGTGAGTGTATCTAAACTGTCTGAGCATGCGGTCTTTGGTACATTAACTTTGACTGACAGACTACTAGAGCCATCAGATCCAGTTCCTGTTTCATCACCGGTCTCTGAGCCAGAGCCAGTTCCTGATCCAGACCCAGAATCAGAGCCAGTTCCACTTCCATCAGTTGGTGCTACCACTGAAACTATCACTGAGCTACCAGAAGAAGTTTCAGTTACTATATATGAATCTCCGTCCAATTGTTTAATAGTAACATCACCATCTGTCTTAGACTGTCCAGGCATTAGATCTATAACAGTACCATTTGAATCAGTTATAACTGTTTCAATTAGTGGTAATGAAACAGTACATCAACTTGACTTCCAGATGATATATCAGTTACAGTAAATGTATCCTCATCCACTTGTTTAAATGTTATATCACCAACTGTTTCAGTCTGTCCTGGAGTAAGATTGATTGTATCACCATTACTATCAGTAATGGTATGTTCATCACCAGATGAAGCTGTTATTGTGATTTCAGTTGATCCATCAGTAATAAGAACAGAATTGCCACTACCTTGTTGGGAAACAGTTACATCACCAACTGTTGCAGTTTCTCCTGAAGAGATGTCTATTACATTGCCTTCATTGTCAGTCACTGAATTCCCACCAGGGACACCACTTCCACTTCCAGCTGTGATGGCTACTTCACTGTTTGAGGATGCATCTGTTACTACTATTGTACCATTATCAGATTTAGTTACAGTTAAGTCACCAACAGTTTCACTATCTCCAGAAGTAAAATCAAGTGGGTTACCTTCATGATCATTGATGCTTATGCCTGAATCGTCAGATTTGATAGTTATACTACTTCCAGATGATTCATCAGAAACAACAATTGTGCTGTCATCTGTTTGTGATACACTTATATCACCAACTGTTGTTGTGTTGCCAGTTCCAAGTGTCATGTGATTACCTTCATGGTCAGTTACTTTGGTTGTATCATCTTCACTATCTCCCTTGCCAGTGTTAATCACAAATCCACCATTATCAGTCATTACAGAGGTTTCAGTAGTGCAAACTGTCTCACCACAAGGAACCTGCCAAACACTAACATCAATATCAGATGTATTGACAAGTGTAAATTCACCAGATTCACCAACAGTATAGGTGATACCATCAAATGTAGTAACTGTTCCATCTTCATTGACTCCAGCTGTTGAAGTTGTGGAAGTTCCAGATGCTGTGTCTTCCAATTTGAAGCTACAGTCTGCTCCATAGTAACCAACAGGACACTTTGAAGCAATTGTTTCTGGCTCAGTATGGGTTACACCTGTTTCAGGATCTGTGTATTCATACACAAAGCTTGTATCATTACCACTATCTGCAAATGTTTCAGCCATATCATTCAGGTCTGATGATGTTATATTAGTTGGGTCAACATATTCACCATCACCAGTTTGAATCTCATTGTTGATATCACCATCACAAGATCCTGACATTCCACTTACACCACTCGAACAAGAATCTTTTGGAGCAGTTATGCCAACATCAAGGGATCCATCGCCATTCACTCCAATGGTGGTTTCAGATCCATCACCCAAATTGGTGATAATTATATCATCACCATCTTTAGTAATGGATGTGTCATTATCAAGTATAACTGTAACTGGTGTGGTAATTTGGTCATCAACATCACCTGTTTCTGTTGTTGGTACTGTAACAGTTATTTGCTCCCCAGTTGTTGTATCAGTTACAACATAAGTGTCTTCATCGATCCTTGTAACTGTCACATCTCCTATGGTTGTGTTTTCCCCAGGAGAAAGGTCAAATGGATTACCACTGCTATCTGTGGGTCCATCCCCAGTGACTATAATGGTATTTCCAGAGTCATCAGTAACTGTAATGGAATCATCATTGTCTTGAGAAACAGTGAAATTACCCATGGATTCAGTACCTCCTGAAGAAATATCAACTGGGTTTCCATGTACATCAGTTACAACTGATTCATCTGATTTTGGAACTGTAACAGTAACCGAAGTGTTAGATGAGCCATCATGTATAACATATGTGTTCTCATCAATCCTTGTCACAGTCAAATTACCAATTGTTTCACTACTTCCAGGTGGGATGTTCACAAGATCACCATCTGTATTAGTGATACCAGTTTCAGTTACTGAAACTGTACTTCCAGAAGATTCATCAGTTATTGTAACTGAACCATTTGAACCAGTTGTTAAAGTCATATCTCCTACTGTTTCACTACTACCAGGTGTAGTATCAATAGGGTTACCTTGTTGATCAGTTACAACAGTATCTTTGTCTGTTGACTCTGGAACAGTAACAGTAATTTCAGCACCTGAGTCTCCATCTTGTACAGTATAGTTTTCTTCATCATTACGAGTAATGGTTAGATTACCAACTGTAACATTGGTGCCTGGTGTTATGTGAATCAAATCACCATTTTCGTCAATAATCCCTGTATCAGTGACTGTAATATTACTACCAGAGTTATCAGTTATAGAGGTTGAACCATCATCAGTTTGACCAACAGTGATATTACCAACTGTTGAGCTTTGTCCTGGTGCTAGATTAATCTCATTTCCATTACTGTCAGTTACTGATGAACCAGAGTCACCCTCATTAGTAGACTCAACAACTGTTACAGTTACCTCGCCTTCAAAAAGTCCATCAGATACTGTAAATGTATCTCCATCTACTCTGGTGATGGTCATATCACCAACTGTTGCACTGCCTCCTGTTGAAATGACAACTGCATTACCATCACCATCAGTAACTCCAGTGGAGTTAAGAATAACAGTGCTATCTGATAACCCATCTGTTACTGAGATAGAGTTATCAGCATTTTGTGTAATGGTCAAGTCTCCAACAGTGTTGCTGCCACCAGAAATATCAAGTTCATTGCCATTTCCATCAGTAACAGTATTTTCAGTTGCTGGTGGGATAGTTACTGTGACTGTACTTCCAGATGAAGTGTCATTAACAACCAGTGTGTCCTCATCAATTCTAGTAACTGTGATATTACCATTTGTTGAAGTATCCCCAGGAGAGAGATTCACAGCATTGCCATTTCCATCAATGATACCATTGTCAGTAATTGTAACATTGCCCTCAGGAGTTCCATCTGTTATTGACAAAGAATCTCCATTGCCATCGCCATTTCCATCATCTCCATGTGTGATTGTCAAATCTCCAACTGTTTGGGTAGATCCAGGTGTTGTATCAATAGGATTGCCCTGTTGATCTGTGACAGTAGTTCCTGTTACTGAAGTGGTAGGGATTGTGACAGTCACTTCTGTTCCCGTAGATGTTTCAGTTATGACATATGTATCCTCATCAATTCTATTAATGGTCACATCATCAACTGTTGTTGAACCACCAATAGGAATATTGATCACATTATTATTATCATCAATGAGTCCAGTCTCTGAAACAGTGACACTGCTTCCAGTATCATCATCTGTTATTGTAATAGTGCCATCATCAGCCTGTGAAATGGTCAAACCACCAACTGTATCACTAGATCCAGGTGAGACGTCAATAATATCTCCATGCTGGTCAGTGATGACAGTTTCAGTTGGTGATGTCACTGTAACAGTAACAGTGCTTCCATCAGATCCCTCTGTTACCTCATATTCCTCCTCATTCAACCTTGTAATATTCATATCACCTACAGTTACACTGTCTCCTGGTAAAATGTTGATAATATTGTCATCATCATCAGTTATACCAGTTCCTGATATGACAATTGTACTGTCTGAAGAGTTATCAGTAATTGAGGTACTGTCCTTACCTTGTGTGATATCGAAATCTCCAATTGTAGTATTCTCTCCCTTTTTGAGATCAACTACAGTGCCATTATTGTCAACAATTGAAGATGTACTTCCTGTATCAACAGGTGGTGTTTCTGGAACTGTTACTGTTACTTCACTTCCTGTTGATACATCAGTTACTTTAACAGTGTCATCATCCACTCTTGTGATGTTAGTATTATCACCAATTTGTGTACTTTCTCCATTTGAAAGGTCAATAATATTTCCATCGCCATCAATAATACCATCTCCAGTGATATTAACAGTTGTTCCAGATTCTCCATCTCCAATTGTGTATCCATCACCATCTTCAGTTTCACCAACCTCCAGATTGCCAACATTGGTTGAACCACCTGTTGGAATAGTGACTGGATCTCCATTTTCATCAGTCAAAACAGGATCTGAAGGTCCAGGTATTGTGATTGTCACCTCATTCTCAGAGGTGCTATCAACAATGACTAGTGTGTCCTCATCAATTCTATTACAGTTTGACCACTGATTACTGCAGTAGTCCCTGGTGACAGATTGACACTATTGCCATCATTGTCTGTAAGGCCTGTTGGTGTTACTGTAATAGTTGTGCCAGTACCACTATCAGTTACTGAGATTGTATCATCAGCATTTTGAGATACTGTCAATGTTCCGACTGTTGCAGCAGATTCACCAGAGACATTAACTTTGTTACCATTGCTATCAGTAATGACAGTTTCGGTGGGAGATGTTACAGTGACGGTAACCTCATTTCCATCACTATCAACCACAACATATGTGTCTTCATCAATCCTCACAATTGTCAAATTGCCAGAAGTGGTGTTGCTCCCTGGTGAAATATTGATAACATTGCCATCACTACCAGTTATTCCAGAATCTGTTATTGTTATGGAACTATTATCAGAGGACCCATCATTGATCACAATTGTGCCATCTGTAGGTTGAGAAACAGTTACATCTCCAGTAGTTATACTTTGTCCAGGTGAGGTATTGACAGGATTACCATTTCCATCAGTGATAGTAGTTGTGCTTCCAGTGCCTTCCTGTGTTGATGTAGGTGTTGGGACATTGATTGTTATTTCACTGTCAGATGATCCAGAAGATACAGTATAGGTATCATCATCAACCTGAGTCAGAGTGACACCATCAATTGTCTCAGAACTTCCAGGAGAGAGGTCAACAGAATTGCCATCTGTATCTGTAATATCTGTGCTTGTAATTCCATCAGATGTTATTGTTGTAGTTATAGTAAATCCATTTCCAGTTGATGGATCAGTTACCTCATATGTATCTTCACCAGTACGAGAAATAGTAACATCATTTACTGTTGCTTCCTTCCCTGTTGTAAGACTAACAATGGTACTACCATCATCACTAGTAATAGATGTAGATGTGCAATTTGATGTACAAGTATCTCCAGAGAAATCAATGGGGTTACCCTCACCATCAAATACAACAACATCACTATCATTAGTGTATGGTGCATGCACAACCACATCAGAATCAGTTGTACTAACTTGTGTCTGGGAAACACATGTAGTATCCCCACATGGAGTAATTCTAACATGAACACTTGAATTAGTATTATTGTTGTTGTAGAACTCATACTCTCCTCTGACATCAAGATCATACTGAACACCATCATATGTGGTAAATGTTCCATTTACTATAGATGTTGTAGCATGGGTATCATTAGTATTTGTGTCTACTATTGTCACACAACAATCGTCAAGATAGAATCCACAAATGCATGAACCGTTGAAATTCTGAGGTTCCTCATACGTCACACCAGTTGGTGTTTCATATGTATACACAAATGGTGTAGAATCCTCATCACCTTCAACCAAACAGTTTGTGCAAGCCTCAGAAATGTCTTCCTCTGAGTTCAAGTCACTATCAATGTCATTGAAAGTGTTTCCATCACAAGAGCCTGCAAGATCTCCAGTGTTACCACTGCAAGAAGTCTTTGGTGTTACAACCTCAACATTCAAGTACCCATTGTCATCTTCCGTAATTATAACTTCAGTACCATCTGGATTATGAACATGATACTCTGTTTCACCATCTTCTGTTGTTTCAGTAGTGACAGTGATATCAGATCCTGTACCAGACTCAGATCCTGTTCCAGTACCTGATCCAGTATCAGTTGTGATGGGGTTTCCATTAGAGTCAAATATTACAATATCACCACCAGGTGTGTAAGGAGCGTGAACAGTAATGCCGTCTGATGTTGGAGGGGGAATTGTGATAGTCACAGTATTATCAGAATCATCTGTTACTGTGATTGTGGTCTCATCATCTTTTCCAATTGTTAGACTACCAACTGTGGTACTTCCTCCTTCTGATAAGTCAACATTATTTCCATTGTTATCTGTGATAACAGCTCCAGGTGTTCCTGGTGCAGTTGAAATTGTAACTCCATCTCCATTTGTGTCAGTAAATACATGTGTGTTGCCATCTGGCTTAGACACAGTCATACCACCTACTGATGCATTAACTCCAGGGGCAACCCCAATAAGGTTTCCTGCATCATTAGTTATCACAGTACCAGCTGGTTGTGCTGGTACAGTGATAGTGACCTCACTTTCAGATGAACCATCAGATACCACATAAGAATCTGAATCAAGTTGCCTGACAGTCATATCACCAAATTGTTTACTACCACCTGGTGAAAGATTTACATGATTGCCAGTGCTACTTGTTACACCAGTTCCTGATATGGTAACTGAGCTTCCAGATGAGCCATCAACAACTCTGTATGTACCAGGTATAACCTCAGTGACAGTTATATCACCCTCTGTGGAAGGAGATCCCTGTGATACATCAATGGTATTACCTTGTTGATCAGTTACACCAGAAACAGTAGTTGTAGGTACTGTAACTATGATATCATTTGCAGGCGATCCAGTAGACACCACATAAGTATCATCATCAACTCGTTTGATAGACACACCATCAGCTTGTGTAGTTGAACCAGGAGAAATGCTAATTGCATCACCATTGCTACCTGTGATTGTTTCTCCACTCACCCCTATACTGCCTCCTGAAGATCCATCGGATATTGTGAATGTCTCACCATCAGCAGAAAGGCTTACAGTCAAGTCTCCAATTGTCTCACTACCACTTGGTGAAACATCAATTTCATTTCCTTGTCGATTAGAGAGGACAATTTCTGGTACTGCAGTAGACGGAACAGTGATTTCAATCTTACTTCCATCAGAAGTAGCAGTTACAACATATGTGTCATCACCAGGATGTTTCACAGTAAAATCACCATCTGCTGTTGTCTGAGTACCTCCAGGTGTGATATATAAAATATTATCATTGTTATCAGTAACAACAGATCCTGTAACAGTGACTGTATTTCCAGATGAGCTGTCTGTTATAACATAAGTGCCATCATCAGTTTGGGCTACAGTTAAGTCACCAACTGTTGAACTTTGTCCATTTGAGAGGTTGATACTGTTGCCATTGCTGTCAGTGATTGGTGAGGATCCACCAGAGTCAGATCCATCGGATGTTCCAGTAGTTTCATCAGGCACAACGGTGATGATTAATTCATTGTCAGAGTCATCAGAAACCACAACAGTATCACTGTCTACCTTGGTAACTATAATTCCTCCAACAATGGTATTGTCTCCTGAGGACAGATCTAAGTCATTACCATCTTGGTCAGTTATGTCTCCTGTATCAGTAACAGTGACTGTGTTTCCAGATCCATCAGATGTAGTAATTGAATTGTCATCATCTTTAGACACAGTGAAATTACCAACTGTGGCATCGGTTCCTGATCCAAGATCAAGTGGATTGCCCTGTTGATCAGTAACAACAGTTTCAGAAGGTGTTGGAATTGTGACTGTAACATTACCACCTGATGATCCATCTGATACTACAATAGTATCATCATCAATCCTTGTAACAGTGATATCACCATCTGTTTTGTTACTACCTGGTGGAATATTCAAAACATTACCATTACTTCCAGTGATACTTGTATCAGTTATTGTTACGGTACTTCCAGATGATGAATCAGTAATTGAAACTGCATCCCCTTCATCTGGTGTAGAAATAGTCATGTCTCCAACAGTTGTATTTGTGCCGGGTGATGTATCAACATTATTACCTTGGTGATCAGTTACAATAGTTTCTGTTGTTGGGGTTGTTGGAATGGTAACTGTCACTTCTTCTCCAGATCCATCTGTTAGAACATATGTATCATCATCAATACGGACAATAGTAATGTTTCCAACAGTTGTGCTATCGCCTATTGGAATATTCACCATATTACCTTCATCATCAATGATACCAGTATCTGTAACAGTTACAGTGCTTCCACTTGTCTTATCAGTGACTGTTGTAGTATCAGAATCAGAGCCTTGAGTTATATCCATATCTCCAATTGTATGGGTACCACCTGATGGGACAACCTCATTTCCTTGACTGTCAGTGACTGTTGTATCAGATGGTGATGTTACAGTGACAGTGACTCCACTTCCAGTTAACTCTTTGTAGACCTTGTATGTATCTTCATCAACTCTAGTGATTGTTATTTCTCCATCTGTAACACTTGAACCTGATTGGATATTAACTGCATTGCCATTATTATCAATAATTCCATTATCAGTAACAGTAACTGTGTTTCCTGAAGAGGAATCAGTTATAGTATATGAGCCATCTGAATTATGGGTTACTGTTATTTCCCCTACAGTTATGCTCTGACCAGATAAAGGATCAATAACATTGCCATTGTTATCAACAAATGTAGTACCATCTGTTTCATCACCAGTGCCAGTACCAGCAGTGTCTGTACCAGGTGTAATTGCAACCTGGCTCACACAGAGGGAATCTCCACATGGAATTACCTTGACATCTACCTCAGATGTATCAGTGTTAACAAGGACAAATTCACCAGGTGTGTTCACATCAAAGGTTGTACCATCATAGGTAGTTATGGAACTATTACCAGATAAGGATGTTACAGAATGTGTAGAGTTTCCATTGAAATCATCACCAGAGTCATCATAGTAATCATTTACCTTTGTTGTTGAAGCTGCTTCTAGAACGTTATCTCCAGTGACAAGATCAATTGGAATATCATTTCCATTACTGTCTTGAAACTCATTATTGATGTTTCCATCACAAGATCCAGAAAGTGTAGAAGTAGTTGATTCACAAACATCATTAGATACAGTTACGTCAACCTCTAGAGTACTACCAGTTCCAGATCCTGTTCCAGATCCAGTGTCAGATCCTGTTCCAGATCCAGTTCCAGATCCTGTTCCAGACCCAGTGTCAGATCCTGTTACAGATCCAGTTCCAGATCCTGTTCCAGACCCAGTGTCAGATCCTGTTCCAGATCCAGTTTCAGATCCTGTACCATCACCAGGTACAACAGAGACTGTAACAATACTACCAGTTTCATCATTAGTCACTTCAAGTGTGTCATTATCAACTTTGGTAATGGTTAAATCACCAACAGTAGTACTGTCTCCTATATCAAGATCAATTGGATTACCTTCATGATCAGTTATATATGAGCCTGATCCAGGTGGTGTTACAGGAACAGTCACAGTGACTTCACTTCCAGAGGATCCATCAGATACAACATAAGTGTCCTCATCTATCTTTGTTATGGTTATATCACCAAGAGTTGCAGTTCCCCCGACAGGCATATCAATTGAATTACCATTGCCATCAACAACTCCATCTCCAGTAATTGTTACAGAGTGATCAGATGAACCATCGTGTACTGTGTAACTACCATCGTTGCCTTGTGAGACTGTCAGATCACCAACAGATTCTCCCTCACCTCCAGGTGTGACATCAATGGAATTTCCACTACCATCAGTTGCTACTGGTTTTGTGTTTGTAGGAACTGTAACTGTCATTTCGGTACCAGATGATTCATCAGATATTTCATAAGTATCCTCATCTACTCTGTGAATAGTCACATCACCAATAGTTTTGTTCTCTCCTGGAGATACATTAATAACATTTCCATTATTGTCTGTAACACCAGTATCACTGAACGTAACACTTGTTCCAGAGGAGCCATCTGTTACTGTTTGACTTGTACCATCACTGCTTGTAGTAACAGTCAAATCACCCAATGTCTCACTTCCACCAGAACTTGGTGTAATTGTGTTACCTTGCTGGTCAGTTATAGTATTATCTGTGCTCATTGGTGGTGTAACTGTGAATGTTACCTCACCATCAGATGAGGCATCAGATATTACATAAGTGTCTTCATCCAAACGAGCAATGGTCATATCTCCAACAGTGGCACTTCCTCCTGGTGTAATGTTAATCACATTGCCATTTCCAGTAATGACAGTTCCAGTTACTTTGATAATGGATTCTGAGGAAGCATCAGTAACAATATAGGTGTGTTCATTAGGGTGAGAAACAGTCATGTCACCAATAACTGCATTTCCTCCTTTTGAAATATCAACATCATTACCACTATCATCAGATACAGATACATCACCATTATCTTTTGTGTCATCAGACGTTGGCACTGTGACAGTGACTTCATTACCAGATCCATCAGTTCCAGTATAAGTGTCCTCATCAACCCTTGTGACTGTAACATCACCTGCAGTTGTATTACCTCCTGGTGGAATGTTAACTGGGTTTCCATTACCATCAACAACACCATCGCCTGTGATTGTTACAGATTCACCAGAGTCTCCTTCAACAGTAACAGAGCTACCATCACTGCCTTTAGTGACAGTCATGTCACCAACTGTTTCAGTTCCCCCAGCTGGAAGGTCGACAGAATTGCCATTTCCATCTGTGACTGATGTGTCTGTAGATGGAGGGACTGTAACTGTAACAGATTCTCCATCTATAGCAGAAGTAAACACATAGGTGTCTTCATCCACTCGTGTGGCATTTATGCTGCCAACTAGCACACTCTGTCCAGGAACGATGTTAACAGTGTCACCATCTGTATTGACAATACCTGTTCCTGTTATTCTGATACTATCTCCAGAGTCAGAAGTTACAGTAAAAATACCATCACCAACCTCTGAAATGGACAAATCACCAACAGTTTCACTTGATCCAGAGGTTGTGGCAATTTCATTACCATTACTATCAGTAATAACTGTTTCTGTAGCTTGTTCAACAGGAACTGTGACTGTGACTTCACTGTTAGATGATCCATCGGATATCACGTAGGTATCTTCATCAACCCTGTTGATGGACAAATCACCATCGGTTGCAGTTGCTCCGATAGGAATGTTAGCAGGGGTTCCATCAGAACCAGTTACACCTGTGTTTGTAACTGAAATTGTTGTACCTGAAGATCCATCTCTAACTGTGACTGACCCATCACTGTTCTGTGTTATTGTTACATCACCAACACTATCACTTCCACCCTGTGAAAGATCAATTTCATTTCCCTGTTGGTCAACAATTTGAGTGTTGGATGATTTAGGATAATTGACTGTAACTTCACCATTGGAGGATCCATCTGTCACAACAATTGTGTCATCATCAATGCGTGTCACAGTTATACCATCTTCTGATATGCTTTCTCCTGGGGAGAAATTCATGACATCACCATCAGCATCTGTGAGTCCCTTTTCTGTTACTATAACAGCAGTTCTTCCAGTTTCGCTATTACTTATAGTTGTGCTACCATCTTCTTTTTGAGTAATGACCATAATACCAACAGTGGCACCATCACCGGAGGGATCAAGTTTATCACCCTGTTTATCTGTTATAGTAGTTCCTGTGTCATCGCCAGTATTTCCAGTGCCTCCAGAGCCAGTATGTATGATGAAACCACCATTATCTGTTGTAATAGAAGTTCCAGTGGTGCATACTGAATCCCCGCATGGTTCTGAACTTACTCCAACAGAAATATCAGATGTGTTTACAAGTGAGTACTCTCCTGGTTTCGTGATATTATACTCAACACCATCAAATGTGGTAATTGTTCCATCTGAGCCAACTCCAGTAGTAGATGTTGTGTCTGTATTTGATGTTGTATCAGCCAATTCAACACTGCAGTCAGCACCGTAGAATCCTGATGGACAAGTAGTGGTTATACTTTCTGGTTCCTTGTGTGTTGTACCATCCTCATCTGTGTATTCATACACAAACTTAGTATCATCATCAGAGTCTGATGACCCACTTTCAGATCCAGATCCACCTGTTGAGTATGTATCACCCATCTCTCTCAGAGCATCTGAAGTAATGTCCTCAGCTGCAACATATCCACCATTACCATCTGGGATCTCATTATCAGTATCACCGTCACAAGATCCTGCCATGCCAGTTACACCAGCTAAACAAGAGTCTGTTGGAGTGGTGATCACTACATCTAAAGATCCCTTATCATTTACAGTGACAGTTGTCTCAGTGCCATCATCAGAATTGGTGACAACAATCACATTATCACCATTGTTTGTTACGGTTGTGCTGTCATCAAGCTGGACAGTTGGATCTGTGAAGTCAATTACTTGGCCATCACCATCAAAGACAACAGAATCACTGCCATGTGTGTATGGTGCATGAATAACAACATCAGATCCACTTGTACTTATCTGAGTTTGTGTAACGCATGTCTTTTGACCACATGGTGTCATCCTAATATAAACAGTGGTATTGGAATCTCCATTGCTAAAGTATTCATATTCTCCTCTTACCTCTAACTCATATTGAACACCATCATATGTTGTAAAGGTACCGTTGGAAATGGTTGTTTCACCATGTGTTCCATTACCGCCTGCACCAACAATGTCAACACAGCAGTCATCAGCATAGAATCCACATACAC